GCAAACAGGCAATTACAACCGTATATTCGGGCGGGAATTCTTAAAACAATTAACGTTACATATTATAAATGTCATCAATTTGTCAAAATAAAATGTTTTAGAACATATAAAACTAAATAAAATAAAACCTTGAAATATAAACAAGGAAAGTAAACAAAATATTGCTAAATTATATTTTAGATTGATTTTATGATCCATGTTAGAACTGGCCTATGGAAAATCTGACCGTAGCATATGCTACAGTTGCAACGGTTCAAATCCGCCCCTGTATAGTACCAAACATAGCAAAAGAAAGAAGAAGTGATAAAGTGAAGTTCGTTACGTACATAAGTATAACATCATTTGATTAATGATTTCGGACTCATAAATTAATACTATTACTGTTGTGTACATTGTCATTCTGTTCATGCAGCTGTAAAAATTAAACTACTAGTAGCACATTAAAGTACATTGTCACTTACAAGTATAAATGCAAATGACATCTAAATCTAACATGTTAACAGTTGTACTTTGTCTTTTTACTTATTCGATATTATTTGATTGTTAATTTGCGGCGAAACTTTTTTAAATTTCCATGCGAGGACACGCTCCCCTAGCTCCCCACACGATTTTTTAACTATCAATCACAGCCGGCTACGTTTTTTGTACAACCGCCTACTTCAAATCATTCTGAAACCCCTGATTGGAGGGCTGAGGAGAGGAGAAGTGTAAAAATTTGATCAATCCAAAATTTAAAATAAATCCTACTTAGAAAGTGCTTAAATAATTTAACAATCAATCTAATAAATTAAATGTCATTCACTTATAGTGTTAAAATAAAAAGATCTTTCATATATTTGCTCATTTATACAGTAATCTTAACTTTCTTTACAATTTACTATATTTATAATACGATTCAGGCATGAAGTATGTACTGTAGCAACGCCTATTTCAAACTTTGGAATTTTCATATGCAAATAAGAATGAATGTCCAAAATACTAATAGCACCTCACTGTATGCTTGATTGAATATCTTTTTCACTCTTTCAATGAAACATCACAATTTAATTCACCTTTGATAAATAACAAAATAAGTTAAATGAAAACAAGAAGTAAATAAATAAACAAACAAATGAATAAATATATAAATAGTAAACATTGGATGACTAAAATTTATAATGGCATGTGTTGTTGAATTGATATAAGCAGCTGTTCTGTATCTTATTTTACAAGGCAAGCCACGGTAATCAGATACAGACTGGATGCAAATCATTATATTAGTCTTTAATTAAATCGATGGCAAAATACGAAATTTTGGCACATTCCTTGCCAAGATGTGAGAGATGGTGGAAATTGAAGTTGCTATTAGACGTCATGCAGTTCCTGTCCCTTTCTATTGTTTTTTGTCTGCAAAGTTAACATGAACCCTGCCTTCTTCACTTTTTGGACCCAACTTCTCGCTTCAGATATATAATGACATTTATACAAAGGCCTACTTTGGGGGCCAAGGTCGCCTAATTTCGCCTAATGTCGCCTAATTTCGCCCATGTACACCCAATTTTTGAACTTTGCCTAACAGTCTATTCGCTTAATGTCACCTAATTTCGCTTAATGTCGCCTAATGTTGCATAATCTCGCAGAAGGATGCCCAATTTTGCACTTTGAGTTTGTCGTCCATTCTAGTCTATTCCTTATTTATTTGTTAGTTTCCTGCATGTTTTTTTTTATAAATACATGTACACAAACACCAAGGGCATGTGCTGTTAGGGCACCATCTCTCACCAGTACTAATGAGGCTTGGTTATTTGGGGTTTAAATGTATATGGAATTACAACGCATTATTCCAATGAGAATTACCTAAATTATGTTGTTAAGGCAGCCTTCTGGCTATCTTCTCCAATGTGTTTCTTTGTGAAACTCAGTCAAATTAGTCAATCACACACCATTAAATGTTGTATATGAAATCAAACTTAGATCTTATTATCACAGATACATTCATGATAACTGGCGAGTGCTAAAGTACAGAATACCTCTCACTAGCCTAGTGAAGTACACTAGGTATCTTAAAGGCCCAAAAGGCCGAAACGGTACCGTCTGTAGTTTATATATATATACCGTTATGTTTCCTTACACGATATTATATATATATTATATTATCTTTCCTTACGCGAAGTAGTACAAGTTAGAAGCTAACCATTAATTAGTAGACGTGCCGTGGTATTGCGGGCTCAAATCCCAGCCGCCATTTTTTTAAAGCATTTTTTTATATTAATGAATATAAACTTTTGTGAATACAATTCTAGTTTCTATTTATTAATTTATATCTGATTCTTACTGGAAATACATCAAACAAGGTACTTTTATTGTTATTTTGTGATTTATTTACTTACTAATAAAAAACCCAATACCAAACACCACAATGTACACAGTACACTATTAACCTGAGTATCAGGCTCTATTTTACAAATAGATGATACAAACCTTAACCCGAACGCTTTCCACCCACAGCAAAGTTTATATTTAGTACCCAATCCTCTGTACCCAATCAAAATGTCGCAGGAAAAATTTAAATTTCACACGACGACAACAACAATCTATAAATTATAGCATATATGGGCAGGCAGGCAGCCCACTAAACGGCTGAATTTAAATTAAAACTGCAATGAACTAATAAAATTAACAAAAATAATCACAAATTAGCGAAATATATTGCAAATGTAGCTTATATTAAATTGCCACCCGATAGCACTATCAACGAACTGACATATAATTATAAAGTATATATATATATAAGTATACTTTATAACTATACGTCAGTTAGTTGACAGTGCAATTGGGTGGCGATTTAATATAAGCTACCTTTGCAATATATTTCGTTAATTTGCGATTATTTTCAAATTTTACTGCAGTTTTAATTTAAATTCAGCTGTTTAGTGGGCTGGCTATGATTGTAGTTGTGATCATTATAAAATATAACAACAATAGTATAATCCAATTAGCACCAGCCAATCAAATGACAGATTTAAAAAATCGTTTGTCTAATTGGCCAATCAGACGAAAAAGCCAGAATCTGGCTTTTTACATGCGGTGTGGTAACAAATTGTATCAGGCCCTCCTTCATTCATTGCCGCCAATTAATCCTGGCGAATGAAAACATAAGGGCCTGATAATCAGGTTAACAGTACACTTGAACACATTAACTTTATAATTTATAATGTAACTACACGAAAACTATACTAATCAAAAGTTTGCAACTGTTGAAAGCCTTTCAACTAATGCTTAAAGTTAATATGATTGGTTAAAACACCAGCTTATTGGCTTACATTTATGCGAGCAAATTTATTAGCACACCTTGCCCAGGATGGAAAGTTTGTAGGTTGCGCCGAAGATCTTTGGTGTCGAAAATTCATAAATTTGCTCCATTTCGGTGCAGAATTATGGGAAAATGAACTCGTTTGGCGCACTGGTGTACAAAAATTTATTTAGTTGTGTACACTACAACATTCTCAACCATTTCTGTTTGTACTGCATTTCAGCCACTTATAGTAAAGGGAATTTGATTGAGCACTGACCGACCGTATTTTATGCTTAGTATTTACTCTGTCTCATTCTAAAAGTGTTGACATTGCAATTCGGCGGCGCATGTAAATATATTTAAAACAAGATTTTATGCAGCCACTGGCGCATGTTACTGAACCTTGATCAAATCTTCTATGCACAAAAAACAAACTTTCCACATACCTGGCACCTTGCTTCTCCAGTGCTTCTCCAGTATAGTGAATGCTAAATGTAAAAAACACGTTTTGAAGTGTTACTATTAGTTTGATTGATCTGTCAATAGTTCATGGGGGAACTTATTCAAATTCAGAATTGTCTCTTTGGGCAGATACTAGTTGATCATGATTTTCAACTTCAAGAAGTTGTCTCTGTGGCCCTCGTCTAGAAGTTCTGCCAATTCCAGCCAGGTCTTTGTATGAGGTTAACCGGTTTCCATCTGAATTTCTGATGACTCGCTTTCTAGCTAACAATGTAAGCTCTACATCATGATCTTCAGCATTCTCGCCATCCTCGCTCTCATCCTCTGTTGCAGAATCTGATTCTTCTGTGTCACTGACATTGCTTTCCAGTGATTGGCGGTGCTGGTCTGATAGATGGTCTAACCTGGAACAATATGCATTTGAGAATGCATAACTCACTCTTCCATCTCGCCATCCTGTTGTAATCTCACTTGCTGAAATAACAAGTGATGTTCCTGCATTTTTAATGATGCTGCCAAAGTATATCTTCACTGGATTAGACTGAAGACTCTACAGTCCTGGTCATCTTGTCTTCGCAGCTGCTCATCAAGCCAAAACCCATAGACAGGACATGCACTTCCTGTTTTACTTGAATGATGTGCTTTGTTAACTTGCAGCAGCCACCACTTGTCTGCACTTGGGATGTTATTATTCACACCAGGATTTACAATCAGTATATCACCATATAATCACCGCTCTTTACTCGTCTGTCTGTTGATCTGCATCCACCTCTTCTTACCGTCAAATCATTCATTAGTTTCTCGAAATCTGGATAATGGCGGGAGACATCATTTCCATCCTCTAACAGAGCATCCTTCTGAAACAGGACACATGGGCCATATCCACATTTGTATCGATATAAGTCCCTAATATTTTGCGTTGGAGTTGCCTTTGTGAGCACATTCAACATTCTCGCTTTCTTCATATCTGTCTTGATGTCTGCAGTTGGAGTAGTATCTTTTGGATGGAACTGCTTACTCCATTTCTTGTATTGACTAACAACTGCTGGTGAAGCCAAGTTGGAGCTATGTGTTGGTTGATAAGCACTAAATGTGTTAGTGTGATAAGAATGTGGGCATTCGCATGTTTTTTTTATTGTTTCAATTTCATGCTGTCCCTTGCTTTGGACATACTGCTTCTTTGTTGGATGTCTGTACTGCCCAGACTGTTTGTGCTTTGCGAAGCCATGTTCTTTTGTAGACTCGTTTAGCAAAGCATACAAATTGATACTGTTAATGGTGTCTGCCATAGCAATGGTTTCAAAAACTTGCATATGTGTTTCCAAGGCATTTACCGTCTCGGCAAAACCATCCAGGGAAATATGATCTGTTCCTTCAGGGCCAGCTGTTGCACAATGCAGGTACTCTCGTCGCTTATTGGTGATGCTTTGTAGGTATGCACATGAGTTGATAAGATTATGAAGGCCTTGTTGGAATGGTATCACTATTTTCTTTTGTTGCTGCCTCACCTCATTTTGTTTAGCCTTAGGAAGAAATCCAATTGAGTCATTAATTTGTCTTATGTTTAGCATCATCTCACAAGCAAATGTGACACTGGTATGGAGTTTGATGCATCCATTCGATCTGCCCCCAAAACAGCATATAATTGCAGTGTCCAGATCAAAGCATATGCCAGTGGGTTCTGATAACAGAGCTGTAGAGGCAGGACCATCTAGACAACCATTTGTTGAACCAATTGTTGATTGTTCTTCTAACATTTCACCTGTATGTTTTGATGATAGGAAGTGTAACTTGTGGGATGTTACATCTGTCACGGCAACAGTACCACCAGAGGAAACAGAGACGTCAAATGCAAAAGTTCCTGGCTACTGTATCAACACATTTGTTGGCCAAGTTGATTTCCAATACAGAGTTTCCATCTGCTACAAGTATTGAATCAGTTGTCCTCAGTGGCGTGCTGGGTACTATTTTTCTGGGGGGGCCAGTGGGCTATCAACCAATATGCGCCCCTATAATGTGACGCTTGATAAACGAGGGCCGAAGGCATGAGCCGAGCGCCGCTGGTGCGAGGTGTTGCCCCCCCCCCCGGAAAATTTTAAAATTTAGAGTCTCTGAAATGCCATTTCCTGGACTTTGGGGGGAAGATTTGACAGAAATCTGATGGTCAGGAAACGAGATTATAACGAGTCGAAATTTGCAATTTGGTTAGAATTTCCGTAGAGGAACTTAAATTGGTACGGTATCAGTTTTACCATAAATCTTTATTTTAGATTAATTGTGGAGGAATAAAGTCACTCGTTGAGTATATTTGTATAAAATATTTTGATTTATAATAAATGCCGATCTCACTAATAACTTGTAATGTTTTACTAAAACGGTGTGCTTGCACTTTATTCATACGAATCTGTCATGTTTTTTGTCAAAACATACAAAAAGAGTTTTAAAATACTATACAGTATATCACTTGATAGTTAGTACTATTTTTCACGTGTTGTATCGAATGTTGATAACGTCAAGTATTGCCCATATCGATCGATCGATGTTCTCCAATGTCTTTAATGTTTCAATAACCATTGTCGATTTCTATAGCATTTCTAAATATTTTCATATAAGTGCCTTCGACAATTCTGATGTCAGACCTCCAAGGCGGTAATAATCTGCTCCTTTTTCAAAGACATTAAAATCTTCCGTTCAGTGCCGGTCATAAGTAGCAATGCTTCAAGTTTTTCTTGAGACAAAGACGAACGTGTGCGGGTTTGATTGGTCGAATTGCAACTGCGATCGCGTAAACTTTACAAAGAGTTGGAAATGCATCAACTAGGTGGTAATCAGGATTCGACAAAATTCTCAGAGCTTCTAGAAATGATTGTTCATCCTTGTCCTTTGGTTCTTCAGCAGTTCCGCCGTCGCTAGACTCGCTGTCGGTTTCTTCTTCGTAGTGTTCGGTTTCAGATTCAGAACCGGAGTCTAAATCAGAATCTTTCTCTTCTTCTTTCGGTCTTCATCAAAAATCGCTGAACACTTCGATTTTTGAAAAGATTCTGCAAAGTTGAGCAGTTCATCTGCACATCGGTGCGAGTCGATGTCAGTGGTACACCATGCCGTTTAAGGTTTCCTTGCCTGGCTGCAAAAAGGGCGCGCGTTTCAGCATTATCTTACTACTCACATTACTCGATGAGTTATGATGTTTCTTGTTCAAACAACTAAATTGCGTACACAACTTTACATTATCATAACTATCTAATTTGCGCCGCTCTCGTGATTCGTGAAGCAATATAAAGACATAATATAAGGGCATAATACAAGCAAAAAAGGGCATAATTCCCATGATTGCTTCGAAACCTGGCCAATATTCCGGTAATGCGACATTGCGTGTGATCACTGATCATGTTTCTATATGAACGATTTCGTGTGAGGTAGCAATACTGGCTGGTCAGACAAAATAGTCTGTAATTTAATATATCACTTTGTCGCCTATGCGCTCAGTCTGTTTATAAGCCTATAAACACATTTTTTCTTGGTGGAAGTAACTATATTTTTTCAAATGCGTTTTTTTCCCACCCACTTTCAAAATTCGGCGCAGGATCGGCGCCCCCTTTTCATTTTTGCGCCCCCCAAAAATTGCCAGCTGGGGGGGCCGTGGTCCCCCAGCCCCCCCTGCCAGCACGCCACTGGTTGTCCTTGGAGATACACAAAGTCAACAAGGTACATTTAAGTTATCAATGACTTGCCGTAATTGACCAGAGATGAGAGAATCATCGAGACTGAGAAGGAATATCTTTGAAGATTCGCTGATTGCAATTGTGTGGGCATTTGGCATCACTGTTAAAGCCTCAGGTTTCCAAGATAAAGGGATGCCATGGATCTGTTCCAATGAACTTATCACCGTTGAAAGAATGTACATTTGTAATGAACCTTATGCAGGAATTTCCCTTGTCATAGACATATGCTTGTTCATTCTTTCCTACGACAACCTTCAATATATCAATTCCTGATGGGTGTTGGAAGGATGCCTTTGTAGAAAGGATGGTGTTTTCATGTGCTGGACCTAGTAAACACATTTGCATACAACAGTATAACATTACGACAGTATATACTGAGTGAATATTTTTCATACTAGTATGAGCAGTCATGGATCAACTTACATTGGCAATGTATGTGTTTAATATCATAATTTAAATACATGATGGAACTCTGGAATTGATGTAAGTTCAATATATTTGCTATTTCTCTATTATATATATATATCATCCCATTTCCCCAATGCTAAGCATTTTGTGGGCACATGTCTGTTTCCCATTCCAACAAATGAATTTTCCTGCGGAAGTAGCGTAATAATAAGGATGCAAATTAGTATACGAATTTGCATAGCACTATAAATATGAGTGAAAATACTGTAGCGCTATCACATGTAGCACAGACAGCCTTCTTAGTTTAAGCATGTCAGATACGGAGCCCACCGATATTGAACAACCAACGCCTGTTGCTAGTGGACAACTCAACCTCACCGAACAAGTTTTCGAACAATTCAAATCATATCTTGATCAAAAGGTTTCCAATTTAACCACCAATCTTACTGCCAAGGCCGACAGCAGATCTAAGCGTGTTGAGCGCCAAACTACTGGTCAACAACTCAAGCTTGCCGGCAACAAGGATCAGTTTCTTTTCAACGCCGAGTTACAAAACTCAATCAAAGAAAGTACAGAGTTACTGCAACACCAAGACGTCGAAGGGGCTTTGGTAAAGCTCGAAACGGCTCAGCAATCTTTACATCTAAGACAGAAGAAAATAAAACTTGCTGACAAAAGCGACGCTGGGTGGTTAGCGGTAAAAGAATACAAAGCTGAAGATCTCGCAAGCGATTCAGACGATGAGAAACGTATTAAGAAAGCCCAAGCGTCGGCAGTACGGAAGAAAGCTAAATCTAGACAGGCAAAGCCTATCAACCAGGCATCCAGGAACGAATTTGTTAATCGCTTTCCTGTTCATAGCGACAATCAGCTTTTTCGAGGTAACTCATGCATGGCCACAATAGGTATAAGTCTGTACGTAAGTAGCCCTTTCTTTGTAATATCAGCATGGTAGGCAAGTGCTCACACGTCCGCCTACCATCTATACGTTGTGTGTGTAATTGATATAGTGAATGTAGTAGGAAAATGTTTTTCCTTCGGGCGAACGCAGTGAGTAAAGAAGGAAAATGAATTTTCCTGTGGAAATAGCGCAATAATGATGCAAATTAGTATACAAATTTGCATAGCACTATAAATATGAGTGAAAATACTGTAGCGCCATCACGTGTAGCACAGACAGCCTTCTTAGTTTTACAAAACTAATTGCAAGTCTTTAGTTATGCATCCTTGCAAGTGTTTTATTTTATTTCAGGCCGTCGCTTTCCTAATGCAACCAACACCTGTTTCCGGTGTGGAAAACGAGGGCCTTGGGCCGAAACCTCTTACAAGTTCGACAGGCAAAGATCGGGTGTGCATACCTTCATCCCCACCAAGGGTTCCAACTTTGGGGAGTCTTCTGGATACGGATTTAAAGCCGGAAATAGTGGTAAATGATTACTTTGGCGAGGAACTTGAACGCGTCGAACAGGTAGACCATTTGGATTATGAATATATTTTTGAATTTTTGGACAGGCATGAACCTGTCAATGCTGTTGGTCTGCCAAATGTCAAAGGCAGGCTAAAATCTCATTTAGCGTTTTGGACAGATATTAAGGCGCCTGATTTTATCATTGAGTGCATAAGAGAAGGTTACAAGATCCCGTTTTATTCTACCCCGGAGCCAGCGACTTTTCCTAATAATCGCTCCGCTCACGTTCACACAGATTTTGTTTCAGAAGCGTTGTCAGAATTGTTATCCACGTGTAGAGTAGTGGAAACACGTAAGGAGGACTTGGTCGTTATAAATCCACTTTCCGTAGCAACGAACAAAAGTGACAAAAAGCGTTTAATATTGGATTTGAGATATGTAAACAAACATATTTACAAGCAAAAGATCAAATTCGAGGAATGGCGTACCGCCATTAATTATTTCGGCCCAGGCACGTATTTCACAAAATTTGATTTAAAGAGCGGCTACCATCACTTAGACATTTTCTGAACATTTTACCCAATCCAGATGGGAGTACACGATACTATAGATTTACTGTCTTGCCTTTTGGCCTTTCTTCAGCTCCCTATATTTTTACCAAACTGCTTCGTCCCATAATTCGTCACTGGCGTGGTTTGGGTATTAGCACTACAATATTCCTAGACGATAACATCGATATGGAAAATTCACCTGAAATCTCTCGCGAATATCCACAATTATCAAATCAGATCTTTGCATGTCAGGCCTAGTTGCCAATGATGAGAAATCAATATGGGTACCAACTCAGAATATAACTTGGCTAGGTTTGGATTGGAATGGCGTAAATGGCACGATCGCCATTGCATCCCATCGCCTAGAGAAATTAAATTCTGCAATAACTACTATTCTCAATCAGCATCGAATCACAGCCAGGCAATTAGCGAGAGTAGTGGGACAGATTATTTCCACTGGCCCCGTTACAGGGAATTTGGCCCGTATCTTGTCCAGACATTGCCAAATGTCTGTTGCATGTGCAGTGAATTGGGACACAACATTTCTAATTGACGACTACGGTCTCCAAGAACTACAGTTTTGGATAACAAACTTAAAATTAGTTAATGCTCGATCTTTTAAAGAATCATCTTCCAGTAACCAAATGATTTGTTCAGACGCCAAGTGCCACAGCGTGCGGGGCCATCATTTTCGGGACAAATCATGTGGCACACAGAATGTTCACCCAATCTGAACAAGAGACAAGTTCAACATATAGGGAATTACTTGCAATTCAATTGGCTATACAGGCCTTTGAACCACTGTTAACAGGTTGTAAAGCAAAATTATTCACTGACAGTCAAGTAGCAATGAAAATTGCTCAGATCGGGAGTATGAAATTAGCATATCACGAATTAGCAATTAGTATCATTTCTACGTGTTTTTGAGCAAATATTCAGTTAGATTTGCAGTGGATACCCCGAACATTAAACGAACAAGCCGATTATGTTAGCAAGTTAAACGATTTTGATGACTGGGAAGTCGTACCCGGCGTATTTGAGCAAATTGACGCTCAGCTTCGTCCTCACACTTTGGATTGCTTTGCAAATTCCAAAAATGCAAAAGTTTCCAGATATTTTTCAAGGTTTTGGAATCCGGGCACGACCGGAGTGGACACGTTTTATCAGGATTGGTCCCATGAGATTGCGTGGGTTGTACCACCCATATCGATATTGTCTCGAGGGTTCTTTGGTTCATGTTTGAGAATAAATGTAAGGGAACGTTAGTAACTCCCTACTGGCCATCAGCGGCTTACTGGCCTTTACTAGTCAAGCAATTTGTAGCTTTTGTCAGAACAACAATCATAATTAAAGGCAACGTAGCGTTATGCCAAGGGAGTAATTCGAAATCGTTGTTAGGTTCGCCAGATTGGCAGGAAATGTTTTCGTGTGTTCTCTCGATTTTTCAGACTAATATTGTTAGCTCATACAGTATACAAGTGTAAGAGTGTATAATTAAATAGATCAAAATGCATGTATTTGTTCAGTTTTTGTTTTCATGTTTTCTGGGTCTGAGAACGCCGGATGGCGTAGGAGTATTTAATTTACTTACATCTTAATTTACTTACGTGACATTGCCGGATGACGTTGAAAGTGTTCAGAGTGTCCAAAAAATTGGCCGGATGGCAAATGACCTTGACACTATTCGGAAGACGGCCGGATATGGCATTTGAAGGGGAAACTGTTATTATGATAGCCGGATGGCAAATGTAACAGGAATGCCTTTGGGATTATTTTCCAATGGCTAGTTTATACGCTTTTGCGGCCCTATTACTTGTGCATCTATGGTTACATTAAGTGACTTTGTTAACTCTTATTTTCTTTTGTCAGGAGTTAGCTAATGCAACCACATGGGGAGATTTCCCCGTCGAGGATAGAAAAGTTTTGATACGTCAGGTTTTGCGATCGAGAGCCTCGAGTACTGTCAAAAAGTACGTTCGTGAACATCGCAAATACATCAGTTTTCTGGTACATACCAGGCGGCCCACCACAATACCTTCGGACAAGTTACACATCGCTTCTTATTTGGCTTCTGTATCACAGATCAAAAATAGTTATAATGCAGTCTTGCAAGCATTTTGTGGAATCAAATGGGTTCATTCGTTACTCCCTACCGACGTGAAAGGCAATCCAGCCGACACTACTCAGTCGGCCAACATAGTGGAAGCTAGTAGAAGGGCTTTCACAAAACCAAGCACAAAAAAGGAACCAATTTCTACATTGACCATAATCACAGTTTGTCAACAATTCGCTGGACCGTCCTGTACTCTGAAGGGTTAAGGACAGCGCTAATATTTTCCTTGGGGTTTACAGGATTATTTAGGGTCAGCGAATTATTGGATATCAAGGCACAGGATATTTGGATCCAAGCTGAACATCTCGAGATTGCGGTTCGAAAATCCAAGATTCACCAATATCGACAAGGAAATATAGTTTATATAGCAAAAACTAACGGGCCAGCGTGCCCACATGCTTTGCTTTTGCGTTTCTATTCTCTCACAGGTATACAGCCACGTTCAAACGAGTACATTTTTCGTTCGCTGTCATCGCTGAAGAAAGGTACATTAACTAAAGCAGACAACAAACCTTTCAGTTATTCTTGATGTCGTGAAATTGTTAAAGAAACTCTGGCTGCTGTTGGCGAGGATCCAGCTCAGTTTGGTACGCATAGTCTGCGATCTGGAGGTGCAACTGCAATTGCGGAATCCATGAAAGGAATACCAGGAGGCACTAGGCTGCTCAGACTGCAAGGGCGATGGAAGTCGGACACCTCTAGGGATATGTACATTAAAGACTCCATGACTAACAGATTGTCAGTTACAAAGTCACTTCAGGTGTAAAAGCAAATGAAATGTAAAATAAATAAATATTGATAGCGATTAATCATTGTGATAAAAGGAATATGAATAAATGAATTATAGGCAAGTGCTCACACGTCGCCTACCATCTATACGTTGTGTGTGTAATTGATATAGCGAATGTAGTAGGAAAATTTTTTCCTTCGGGCGAAAGCAGTGAGTAAAGAAGGAAAACTGATATTCTGCATCTGCAAAATGAAATAAAAGTATTGTATATTAACTAATAATATAGATGAGAAAAATTACTCAATTCCGATTGGCTAAGCGCAGTGCAATTACCAAAACAAGAGCAGAGCCTGGAATCAATGAAGAAAAAATAAATATGGTGACAGTCTGGCAGATAGTAGCAATAAATTTTCGGTTTTTTGACAACTTTTCACATTTTCAATGGAAAATTGTATGTGAATATAACAATTTAAGTACAAGGAGCACATAGACTGAAAATATTCACTAATAAGCAATGAAAACAATGCTTATATGTAGGTGAGTGCACAGATGTTATCAAAGGGTGTAATTGTTTCATCTATATTATTTATTAACAAGTAATAAGTGCAGACTCGTGCTACTAATTGCACAGACTGGCTTACTGGATATCGGGTGAAGTCCTCATAGTTGGATGTAAAATATTATATATTCACCACTTTACCTATCATTTTTCCACCATTTCAAAGTTTTAACAATTTTTCTTTTAAAAGTAATATTCTCTGAACTTACCAGTCCACAAAAAATCTCCATTGCCATTACAGGTGATGTATAGCGGTCTACCAATAATTTCATGTGTTTTAGCTTCCCGTGCTGTTGGCTTGTACTGCTCAGGAACCAATGTTGCTACGACAGCTTTTGTTTGTTTCATTACTCCTTCCATTTCCTTGCATACAGACTTATAGCCAGTTTCGTCACTATGTGCATCTCTAAAAGAAAACACAGTAGCTGGGGCTGCTTTCTTCATCATTGTGGCTTCGTTGCTGTTAGATGCCCAAACTGCAGTCATGAGCCCAATATAGAATGTCCCTGACATGTCTGTCAATCTATAATGCCGTAACGATGATATACAATTTTTTGCAAAGTGCAACAACCCAAAACCATATTGTATATAGTCTGGATCTAACAAGTCTCTTGGTGCATCTTTATTTAATTCCATGTGCGCTTTGCGCTGTGAAGGTGCCTGATCAGAGGAAATATGGAGAATCGTGGCACTTACACAGGGAGATTAATTTGTGCACTTCTTCTGGTCACATCTTTCACATGGCTTATCCAATGAGGAAAATGTACATGTCGTAGCATTATCTGACAGGATACAATTGGTACAAGACTGCAAACACTGGAGTGCTTCGTTAAGTTCATCCTTTACACTGGCTGAGTCCCCAGCAGATGCTCCGAATGAGGTAAAAACATTAATGTTTACATTGCCAGAAGTATCCATCATGTCATATTCCTTAACTTCGCTGATCCATTCACAGTTCTCCTTTATGTAGCGATGAACAGCTGCATTGCCATTTCTGTATAAATCTTCCATGTGATGATTTATTGTCGGTAAAATTCCATCGAAGATTATTTCTCCATTTTCCTGCCTAGGGAATGTCCCAATATTCAATGGCATTCCATCATAGTGAACACAAGTGAAATGCTTCTTAATTCCATTTCCCTGATAGGTTGGTATGCCATCAAGTGTGTTCAACATAGTTAACAGTAGCATCAAATTGTTTAAATGAGGGCCACTGTTATATATTGGTGGAGATTTCTTCAGGTCTAAGGTGCCAGGGAAACAGTACTCAAGTGATGGTGCAGCTGTGGTAGCTTGGTCTTTATAACCATACCGTTTCTTACCAAGATAAGAACGGTACCCCCGCCTTGTTCTAATGTTAAATAGAGATTCACAAAAGCTATACAAAGTTGGCCATGCGGTCCAGTCCAACACAGGATGTGGTTGCTGAAGTTGTTCAGTTATGAATACATCTACAGATTGATACAATACATGATCTATCGATAGTATCCCAGCATCAATGGCAAGTTTAAGCCAATGGGCTAAGTAGTTTCCTTCCTTGATGGTTCATTATTAAGGGGTACTTGTCCAATACTTCATTTGTGACATACAGGTATAAAATACAAAACTCGGAATAACATTTTGTTTAATAAATCTATTTTTCGACTGGTAGTCATTTTTAGGATTTTAGGTAACTACAAATTAGTCAAAACGTAGATTCATTAAAGATTCAAAAGCTGAGTGGTTCCCGTAAATACATGCATAGTAATTATAAAATGTAATCCCAGTTGTTGAAAATTTCCAGCAAGCCTGTCATAAACATAAATAAAAAATATTTATTCACTGACTGGATTTGTACTTCGATTTACACAACTGGATGCATGCCGAATTAAACGAATACATGGTTTTGAAACTCATTGAAGCACAATATAACTCATCTAAGTTATTGTCCAGGTTTATGCAAGAATGAGATCCTATGGCATCACATGTGCATTGTATTTTTACCCAAACATTACCGATAGTAATGGTTTGGCTTACAGTAGTTATTCAGCTTCAACAGTTGGTTAATAGTTAAAAATCGCTATTGACCTTTTCAGATGCGAATACGATGCACACCGAGCACATGTAATGTGGTATGATCACACTGATATACACTGTGGTTAAAGAAAAAATCAGTGTCACACAGTTATACTCAAGATAGTTTTGTGATATTATGACCTTTAAGCATAATCAATGATAATGTTTACTGCAAAATGAATTCTGTATGCCTCATTAAAATATTGACAAGCACCCCTTAATCAATGTCACGGGCTAGGATGGCATTCCTGACCCGTGGTGTCGATACTAGTGCTGTTGGGTTGAAGAGACTTTCAGGCAGAGGTGCCTCGTCATCTATTTGCTGCGCGCTGATAGAGTGGTTGTTGACCCATGCCTTCAATCGTCTAGTGCATGCGACAGCAGCACCTGTAGTATGCTGGGTAGTGATATGCTGTATCACTGATGCAAGCTGGCTCATGTTTCCCAAACATTTCACATTTCCACAAATAGGACATATTATCTGAAATGGATTCAGAAGATACCTTTTGTCTCCCAATGCCAGCTCCATCCCAGCCTGTAATTTGTCATACTCGTACAGAAACCTGGAATCCTCCTCCATTAATGCATCACATTTAGCTGTCCATTTACCATCAAGGTATCCCTTCTTTGCTTTTCCTTGATCATCATGAAGTCCCATTTCTCTCTTTATTTCCTCTGCAACAACCTCTTTCTTACGGAACTTTCTTTGGTTGGATATACCAGCTTCTCTCATTTTCTCAATCCTCAGTTCCACAGTTATTCGAGAATAATTAGGAAGAATTGTCAAAGCATGTTGGTAACTTTCTTCGTCTCCTTCTTCGATTTCAATTGTAAGCTTCTCAGCACCAGCACCAGGTTGAAACTCAAATGATAGACAAATGAATTTTTCTCCAAGGTTAAACAACTTTGCAACTTTACCAATGAGTTCCTTTGTAGTCATTGTGCTGGTCACTTGCAAAAATTTATAGGTGCTCGAGTTTGTTGCTCAGATACTCCATAGTCTCTGAATAACTGTGAAAGACAATCATTGTGAGAATTATTACTACAGAAATGTAACGTACAGTTACATATTTAGGTCAAACATTTTGTTGTCTGTCTCCAATGAGGGTCTCCAAGTCACAAAGTTTAGACAGAAACAGTGTAATTCAACCAAAAATAAAATGTTTTCTCTAACTATGTAAAATCTTTGTCTGTTGAAGTATAAATCTTGTTTTTGACCAATCCGCGTATTTGATATTCCCTGAAATTACTCATGAGCAAGTATTGGGGGGGGGGGGTGCACCCCCACACACCCCTAGTGGCTACGGCCCTGGCAGTCCTGATATGGAGCTGTAAAGCCTTAAAGAGTATTATAAAAGTATACAAATTACAAAATCATTTTTGTATAGCTCTGTTTTTAGAAAGTTATACACTCATGAATATAATTCTCAATATAATTTCACATTTGCTCACTTGACTTTTAATAGCAATTCAGCTTGATTTGCATGTATAAAGTGGACTCTGTGAAAGTGGTTACAGTTGGTGTGTGGACTAAGAATTATTTATATTTGTCTGCCAATGTTACTATATGGTATATATCTCAAGCCCTACATGTTACTGTTATAAATTTCAAAATCACCCACCCCCTCAAAAGTTAAATGGTTAGCCCCTAAACAGAAACCTTATTTTGAAGTATACCTTCTAGCGATTACCTGGCTTTATATTTTCCTGTATACCTTCTAGCGATTACCTGGCTTCTGAAATACACATCTCTCTCACTATACTTGCTGAATATTAATATGACCTACATTTGTGGGTCCGACCACTAAATATATTCAGTAGCACTATGAGTATAAGCAGGAGATTATAAACAAATATAAGCAGGAGATTATAAACAAATATTGCTGTAATATTATTTATATTAGGCTGTTTGCCTGTTACAGTCAAACCGGATGTTCTGTTCCCCTGAGTATTGCAACATTGCAACCAAGCAAATTGCAATCGAAACACGCAAGTTGCGTTGCAAGTTTGGCACAACTTGCAATTCGCCACGCTCACTCGTTCAGTAGCAATATTCTCTTCATCACTCGAAATAAATTACATATTTCCGCACAACCATGTAGAAATATTCTCTATATATTCCAATTTACCTTTAATTTGTCAAGTGGTAGGCAAGATATTAGTCCTTTTGATTTGTTATCGTCTTGACTCAACATGGAAGTGATAGGTAACACAATGAACAATCAGCCCTTGTTGCAGGCGGTAATGCACGCTTCACATGACATTTTATGCATGCCAATTTGTTTGTAACCTAATTTGTTTAAAATTCAACAAACAAAGGTTGTCAAAGGATTTTTACATAATAAGTATAATAAAACATATACACCGCATTTTATGTTAGTTTACATTGTAGTAAATGTTGCTGCGGAACTAACCAGCTGGTAAAATTTTTTAGTTCTTTATGCATAAATATGTGAGAGTGATCTCCTGTCATGCCATGAATAAAATATATCCCATACAACTTACAGACAGTAGATGTCTGGGATGCCCAAAGCATAACAGTTTTAGTTGGGCTAACTTAACATTTTATAGCAACAGATGTCCTACCTTGTTTGACGTCTGTAGTTGTATTATTAATATTTGACTCCTTCGGAAGTGCAAAATTGCTGTCAGCCTCGCTTGTGACTGTGTCATTCGGAGATTTCTCTGCTGCAGATCTTGCAGGTTTCTCTGAGTGGCTATGACGGGCATGGTACTTCTTTTTAGTGTCCTTCGACGACTTCTTTTTCTTTTTTTGTGTCTCTCAGGTGAGCGCGATGACTGTCGTTTCCTTTTCTTTCTGTGCGAGTGGGATCATCGACGTGCATGTTCTCGCTTCTTGACTGACTTTTCGCAGTGTGTTTCTTTATCATCACTATCCAAAGATACGTCAACCGGCGAAGACGAAGAGTTACTCATGATCACACAGTACTGATAAAACGGGATGAATAAACTGACCCATACTGTTTTATTATATTTAATTTACTTCATATTCAGTCTGATGGCCAGTAATCCAGTTCTGACAAGTGATAATCATATCCTATGACCACGTAACCCGAGTATCAGGCTCTATTGCCACTGCCAATTAATTCTGGCGAATGAAAACATAAGGGCCTGATACTCAGGTTAATTACCATGTTTAACTCTGCGCATAGTTCTGCGCGGCCCGCAGGCATGTGAAACCACAGATGACGCAGCCTCTGCGCATGCCTGTTAATTATTGCTGCGGAGCGAGCGAGCCTGAAGCGAGCGCAGCAGCAACCTAATATATGCAGAGAGGGGGTTTTGAACTAAATTTTATTTAGGGCATAGAATTGTGGCCGTGCGCGCTTTCTATGCGCAGAACACACATTTTAAACTCGCTCGAGTCTTGATTTTTATCGAATTTCTGAAGCTTTTTCAAGTCTACTGTTACGCTTACATTTGTTTTGGACTTTGGACACTGTTAGTTCTATATTTTTATCAAGTTTTGGTTTCTTAGTGTGATAAATCTGTGTATATAGTCTATATAATGTGGTAAATGCGCCTAGCAGTAAACAAACTTGATATGAAATCTGATCTTAATTTACCTGTATGTCAATGAGACGCACATGTTTAATATCTGTCACCCCTGATTGCCCTTTAACCCCTGGTCTTTGCTACTTCAATATATATTGCTTCTTCTCAGTTCCATTCACAGCTCACTAGTCGCAGCGAGTAATCACTGTGCTTGATATAATTTGTACTGTTTACTGTAGTTCTATTTGCTTTTAATGCCCGCAGCAATCCCTACCTTGCAGGTACCCTAGTATAGAGCCTGATACTCGGTTCACCTGTTGATAGGCTAACATACTAATAGGAAATGTGCCAGAATTTTAAGGAATATTTCAAGGCATTTATCTGCCCCAGCATTCCCCAGCACACCTGGCAAGTTTGTCCTGCTCTGTCGTGCTTTATTTAAAAATACCATTGTTTATATTTAAATACGAGAAAATGTCGACCAAGAAGCTGCCCAGATTTAGCGGTATGTCTTTTTGGTTTGTTCCCAAAAAGTTAGTGAGAGCACAAAAGCAAATATTGGCGAAAAAGATTACAGAAAGAGGAGGAATTGTTTTAGCTGACTACGTCCCTGAGACTACCCACGTGCTTGTGCCGCGAGGCATCTCTTTAGAAGATGCCCAAAAAGCAATGAAAACAAAGGACCACAAACCAAGGCATTTGAAGATTGTTCGGATCGACTGGCTTCCAAAATGTATTCAAACATGTAGCATTGTTCCATTATTGTCTTTCGAGGTATATTTATATTTTGTAATTAATCTTTTTATATTAATAAATCAGTTTCCGTTTGAGTTTAATAGTGATTTTGTAGTGATGCTCGAGATATTTATATACGGTAATCACATTAAAATTTTTTATTTTAGATGGCAAGTCATTCTGAAGCAACGGATGCTCAAAGTGACTATTCTCCCCCTTCCAAAAAGAGAATGATTAAAAAGCGCGAGTTAAAAATATCTCCATATTGATAGGCCTTGATGATGTTGATTTAATTAGGCATTTTATTCTAAGATAAGATAGGATAAATAGCGATGTTTGTGGAACAATGGGGGTTATTTTTCCAAGATGGCGTCCAAAACAAAGATGTAAAAAAGAAAATAAAAAACAAATTATATTTCTTTCAGCAGGAACTCTGAGGAGTTTAACTGATTGAATTATTATTTGATATCCTGCAGATTATGAGTTCGAATTGAGTGGAACATCGAAACTGCCCCATGCAACAAAAGTGGTTGATTGGGTGAAACATGAAGATGGTTATGGTTTTAACCTTTCTACCGAAGAGCTTCACCTGCCCGTAATTGTCAAAGCTGTACCCATACCAGAGCTGCAAATAAATGGCATTGGTGTATTCTTCCAGTTCTCTGACGATGGCAAATTGGTTGGATTCCAAATAAACATAAGGAAGAAGTAGAACAGGTTTTGGATATAAAGGAATTTAATTGTTTTATTAGTTCAGTTAAAGTAAAGGAACTGTCATCTAATTTTAGTAAAGTAAGTATAGTTATACAAATGTATATGGATTAAACTTTTTTCTATCTGTTTGCTTTGAAAGTAAGTTCTATTTTTTATTGAAACTATAAGATTTATAGTTATCACTATTTGAGATATTTGTTTGCCAGTTTTTGGTGAGTTAGATTTCAAGCATGGTGGTACATGATTTACATGGCACACGTTCATGATAGCTAGCTGACAATTTATTTACCTTAAATGCCAATTCTTTCACTTCCATCACTGCATACCACAGTCCATAAACAGGTTTTAAAACTCTATGAGGTGTTTACACCAGTCAATTTAATAAGAAGTCAGAGTTCCATGATACTGTAAATGTACCATGCACCACGGCACTGGGCATGTATGTGTACTACAGTATAAACTTTGAGTAAATTGTCAGGCTAGCAGTTAGAGAAATGTTCCTTGTTATTTTTGCAAACTATTTGTAATAAACTAATTGTGTTCTTTGCCACAGGAACCAATTTTTGATAACTAAATTATATTTTGATATTTACTGTTGTATTTTCTATGTAGATTTGTGAATTATAATATTTGACATTATCTGGATATTGCTGTTCAGTTTTGTCCAATGTCGCCCAGCGACACACACTACTTTTTGAAAATTGCCAATGTCGCACAATGTTGCACATAATAATGGCAACCTTGGCCCCCAAAGTAGGCCTATACAAAGAATACGCCATACGTTTCGCTAGGGTAGGCAAAGCGTTTCATAGGTGGAATACACATGAACTGTTAGCTGAATTATGTCATATAATTTAGTGTTGTACCATGATTTTCTGCCATTTCAGCATTTACTTGGTTGAGGATTTGCTTTTAACAATCATTTTCCCACTCTCAGATGCCAGACGCTTCAATTTGTTGTCATATAAAAATAACAAGGCAGAACATTCTACCTCCAGTAATTCCAGGTAGTCAATCTAAAATATACAGTAAGAGTTGGTAACAAGAGATCAGGGGCCGGTTGCACGAAGGCCGGATAATAATAGCGCTATAGTAGTGATAGTAAAAAAGTATTCGATAAAGTGGGGGTGTGGGAATTTTTTTTTTTAATATAAAATAGTATTACGAAAAAGTGCATGGTCAGCAAAAAAAAGTGAAAAAGTGTCTCCCCGGACGGGGGGAGTTTTTGGCTCCCCATGACGTCCCAAGAAGGACGGTTGTGTTGCAATAATGCGGTTGCGCAACATTAAAGGAGGAGATGTGTCCCCAAAGCTGTGGTCGACCGAAGTGAGGACATTTGAATTTGGCGGTGAATTTATGGCACGTGACGCGTGTGACGTACTTCCGGTGATGCACGTCCGGCACCCGTTTTCGGGGTTGCGTGCGGGCGGTGTGGGCAAATAGGGGTAATAATTGACAAAAACGGTAAAAAATTGGGTTTTTTTCATTTATTTATTAAAAAATATTTATTAAATTTACATTATTTATCTATTATTATATTATCTTAAAAGTTTTGTATCTCTTCTAAGTTGGCCAGCACATTTTGTTCCATGTAATTTAGTGTTTTTAGTTTTAGTCTCTGTTCTTTTATTATTTGAAAAGCTTTTAACTTTTTCTCAGCGATATACTCCAGTGGTGAATAGTGTTTTATCGCAAAACACTTGACATCTTTGTTGTGCTTGGTTAACAGTCGGGCCTTTTTTCGTACTTGCCCGTTTGATGAGAAAAGCGCTACTTCGCGAATAGCCATCGTGTCGACATCATCAATTTCGGCATTTTTTGCGTCGCGTAGCAACGCCGAATCCTTGGATGGTGTTCCGGGTCCAGGTCCGTCAACGTTAGTGGGGGCTCTCTTTCGTTTTCGGGGTACGGGTGTCGGTTTACATCGTTGTTTCGTTTTTGTTGCAGTTTCGATTTCGTTGTGAATGGCTTTTAGTTGTTCAATGTTTTTACCACGGCTCGGGGATCTTACGTAGTTCGGGGTAGGTGGTTTTTCTTCTTCATCTGATGTTGGCGGGGTTTGTTCGGGATGTGATGTGTTTAATATTTCGACAATGGCTTCAGCTACGGGTTCCGGTGCGGTTTCTGTTGTTGCTATGGTGTCGTCTGCGTTCATGGTGGTTTCTGTGCTGCTAATTTCTGCGTTGTTGTCGACGTGTGAATCGCATGCGGGTTGTGATTGTAATGCCGTAGTATGGTCATTTGTTAAATCAAAAGTCTGAAATAGTTCACGGTCGTTGTTGTTGCACAGGCTTGTTAAATCTTCTGGCAGTTGAGTTTTTGTGATTTTCAGACGCGGGTCCGTTGGTTGAGGAGTTTGTGCGAAAAGGTTAGCGTTGGCGATTTTTTCCTGTTCCTGGGCGAATTGATCATATAGTTGTTTCCAGAAGATAAATTTTTCAGCAAAATTAATACATCCAATAGGTGGTTGATAGGTGGTGAAATTCACGTATAAATTCGTTAAAATGGGTGTATTTGCGTCGGATAAAGTACATTGCATGTAATTTACAAACTGCATAAAATCTGCTGTTCCTGACATCTTGACGTTGTTGGCATAAATAACGCTTAGTGTGCCGTAAATCTTTAATATACTATGATTTTTTGGGGTGTGCAACGTAATAATGCAGGGTTGTGCGTTATTACCTATATATGGTTGTGGAATTTTTATTGTGTATTTTTTGCTCTTACAGCGTTATTACCTATATATGGTTGTGGAATTTTTATTGTGTATTTTTTGCTCTTACAGCGTTATTATCCAAATTTGGTAATAGAATGTTAATGTTATTTTTCCAGATGGTCAATGTTTGGCAGTGGGCAGTGATTGCCATGGTTTTTCTATATTTGTGTTATGTATTGTTTGGACCGAAAAAAGCATTGGAATTGCTGTTTATGTTTGATAAGAATTGGGACGAGCTGTATTATTGTAAAAATGATGAATATGAATAATTTACAGGTTGGTGCGGAGTTTTTATCGTTGGATTCGCAAGAGTGGTCAGCACATTATGGGTTTGCGTACAGTATAGTAAAGTGAGTTTTTGAATTTTTTTGTAGTGGAAAAGTAATGTCTTTGAAGATGAGATATACCAGTTGTTTATAAATTTAAATGAAAAAGTGGGTGAAGAAGGAAGACTGGCTTTAGAACGTCAACCCTGGGAGTTGAGAGAGAGAAGACCAATGTATAATGGATGGTGTGTAAATATTTTGGATCGAGACATTTTGTATTGTGGCGTAAAGGGCTATGTTTACATGAATCCGAAAATATACGGTGTTGATTATATTAGTGTTGGAAAAGTAGTACTTGTACACGACATATTAACCAAATATAGTGTTAGAAATATATATGAACACGATTCTAGGGGTTTCTTTGATTGCGACGGCAGCGATGAGGACAGGGATGTAATGGCTGCAATAATTCATAGTTTAACAGGATTTTTTAAAGATAATGACTATTCGTTTGTAAATATATTACAACAAAATATTTTAAGGGGCGTAGGGGTATTAGTAAAGGAAAATGTAATATGGGAAATGTGTAAACTTTTTAGAATAATATAAATTAAATATTTTCTAGATATGCAACGGCTTATTTTCGAGAAGACGATGAAATAGTAAATAAAATGGCGTTATGTTATGCCAATCAGATTGGAAGTTTTTGGCCGAGATCCTGTACGGGAAAAACAATTTTAATGGTTGACAATTGTCTTTACAAGATACGGTGTTACGTGTATTTGGTCGGGTGTGTGTCGCGTGAAGACTTGATATTGGGGGTGATTGACCGTGGCGAATATGCGGCATACAGGGTTACTTTAAAGATTTCTGATTTAGGTTTTGAAGTAACAGTTGATGCCGCTCAAGAGGGTTATAAATATCCGCATGGGGTCGAAGGGGGTAGCGGGTATTATTATGAATTATTAGCAATGTATATACAAGAATATTTAGATATGGAATTATGTGAGATGGATGGGGATATTGGGGAGTATGATAGTTCACGAGATATTTTATATTCTTCAAAAATGTTAGCTGAGTTTCAGAGGTGGTTTAACTATCGTAAGAATGAAGATAAATTGTAATTGTTGTCAGTGGCAAAATGTTCAAAATTGTCGTTTGTTAAAACATCGTCCTTATCAGTGTATATTATTTAGTGAAAAATTAATAAATTACCGTCATGTCACTGTGAGTATGAAAATGTATGATTTTTATATGCGTTTAATGGAAAGAGAGCAGGTTGTGCGAATGCATTCAGGAGAAACGCAGTTATTGTGTGGTGAGAATGTGTTAATGCTGGGGTCGTATTACGTATATTGCTACGATTATAACATTACATTTTCGGGTCAGCGTGAAATATTTGTCGGTGTAATCGGCTGGGCTCAACGTTTTTATGTAACTGCAAGAATATATTGTGGTATTTATCCTGAAAAGTTTATTGGTGTTACGGAAAAACATCTTCAAACTGGTAATCAGCGTGTGATAGTTACATTAAACCGATGTACTACGCTTGATCCGGAAAAGTTGGATTCTTGACGTGTAAACCCGCAGGTTTTGGCTTGCTTAGACAATATTGTACAATATGTTCTATCTTATTCTTTTTTTCACGAAAATAAAATACAACAGGAAGTTTTACGTTTAACTTTGGCGCACACGTCGACAAGACTGATACAATTGTTGAAATACGCCTTAAAGTTGCAAGACGTTGTGAAGCATTTTTGTACTAGCAATTGTTCGTGTGGCGGTTTTAACGAAGAGTGTTATTGCCCCATACCGTACGAATGTGACAAAGTGTTTTTTGCGCAAAACAACTTTACAGTGATGCGATGCTTTTTGGAGCCCAGCTGCCCGAAAGCAAGGGAACTTTATAGAATGTTGCGGCATATGCGGTGGAGTCTTTACGGTAACCCCATCGTCTGCTATGACAGGTTTTATGGGAACGTGGATAAATGGTTGTATGAAACACATAGTTCGAGAGATGACAATAATCATATAATGACTATTAATGTAACTTTTAAACAATTAAATAAGGATGTTTATTTACATGTATTAGCATGTATTACTATAAAATATGGATATACGCCGCATGCTGAAAGGGGTGTTTATAAACGAACTGTAGGGTATGATATACAATTTGAATTTTGTGAACATACGATGCATATTGATAATAACAGATATGAGGATACAGTTCGCAGATGTATAAACGAAATGTACGATAGTGTGTACGTGCATAAAGCTATTGATGTTGAGCGTATATTAGATAATTTAGAAACTCATAGGGGTATATTAATTTCCCCGCATTTAGTTAGCAAAATATTGTTTTGTTTTAGACGGTTGAAGCGAGTAATGGACAATATGGTTATGAAATGCCATTGTAGTGATAAAATAATATGTGTATGTAGTAATTTGGAAGATTTAGAAGTGTGGGAATAAATGTTTTATTGTGTTGTATGCGTGTACGAGAATGGAGGTGTTTTTTCAACTACCGCATTGTGAAATAAATGAAAATGTGTTAAGAAATGTTCAAAATCAGCACGATATTTTGAAGGGGCGTATAACACACATTATAGATTGCGAGGTGTATACATGGCGCAAGAAAAATTTTTTACGCGAAGTTTCTGTATTGTGTCGATCCACAAATATTGTTACAACGTATCAAATTTACATTCCAAACGTCAAGCTGTTTGACGAAAATGATCGTGCAATCCGCTACCAAATAAGGGTAATACATGGTCTACCCATTAAAAGACGGCGTATTGATAATAATTTTTATTTATATAGTGAAATAGTCGACATGTTGCGTAAAATATTGAACGTAATTTACTGAATAGATTGGGTATTTCGTGCATTAATATGGAAATTTTGGGGTGTCCAAAATATGAATGTTTATTGACAGAATACAATGTGAAACACGAGTGTTGCCCCTATCATATAACGGGTGAATATCATTGTTCGCGACACGAAGTTAAGTTATTTGGACAGTTTTTGGATGCAATATGAATTGTTACGACGTGCCCCTAAATCTTAGTGCGTTGGGTCTTTTACTTGAAAATTATCCCTATGATCCTGTGTTATGGTCGTTGTATGCAACATGCAGTTATTTGTATGAGAAGAAGAAAATTGAAATTCAGAATTTAGGGGTAAAAGAAATTTATATTCGGAATTATCGTCTTGCGGGTATATACGATGTAGAGGAAGAGGACGGGGAAAAGCAGGTTGTTCTGAAACAGTCATTGGTGTGGTTAAAGGGTTGCTTAACGGGTGTTCATGATATGATATTATTCGATAAGTCAAAACCTTACTATGCACTATTGGGTGTTGATACCCACGTCTCAAACTCATGCTATAGTTTTTACGACGATCCCGAAGACGAATCTAAAATGGATAAAACATTTTATGTTATTCCTGCAGAGTGGATCCCCTATGTGTATATACGTGTAAGAGATGATAAGTCTTGGCACATGTATTTGGCCAAAAAGAAGTTTTGCTGCCGGCAGATTTTGTATCGTGGCGATGTTACGGTTGTACAACGCCAATATGTAAGCATTAAAGATGAATATATGGTTTCCGACGATTATTTTCATGTTGGTGTTGGACAGTGTGCTGGAAAAGTTCACGAAGTGCTTGCCGATGTGGGGGTATTTATAAATGGTAAGCAGTTGTACGAGACCGCACGACGGCTGGCCGACCCCTACGGTAAAGTACGAGAGGTAATCTATGCGCTTGGCGTACACGAACCCTTATTTAAGTTTGGAGACGAACACATTAAGGGAAAAACTTTAAAATTAATTATGAGACATTTATTAGTGTGCCGTTGTTGTAATGTGTATGTAGATAAGTTAGTGGAAATGATTTGTACAACGTTAGTTAAGCATGATACTTTAGCCGGGGTTATGAATTCTTTTGACGGTGATACGCTTAAAGAGGGTCAAGTACCCTGTTATACATATATTTTGGACGGTGATTTTGCAGTTATGCGTAGAGATGCTTATAGAGCACCGTTAAAAATTAAAGATATTTGTGATAGTATTTGTAAAGAAATTATTGATCCGTTTTTTGAGAAATTTAATTAATGACTATATATGGTATTGGTATGTAGGTTGTAAAATGAATAAAAGTAAAAGGAAAAAATAAATTTTTTGAAAAAATGTCTCGTACATATTATTTCGAGTCTGTATCACCATTGTATAATGTTGTGAATTGGGGACATATCAATAATGTCTTGCTGGAAATGGGGATGACTTATTTAAAATATTTACAGTACCAAGTAGAATTGTTGAACAAGATTGTTGGTATAGTCCAGTTTTCTGATCGTGTGGCACGCGGGAAAATAAATTATCAGCTTTCGGCGGCGGGATTTAACACAAGTTATTTGCAAGATGTGAAATTACCTATTGTTTTACCCCACGTACGAATATGGTTACTTTGCAAGCATCATTAGCTTTCCGAATCGGAAATTAAAGAGCAGGGAAACTTTGCGTTGGGCGGTAGAAACCGTCTTTTAGAAGACGACCTGGTACCGTATAAGAATTTAGTAAACAATTTTATGGAAACTAAAAATTATGAACCGTGTGAGTTTCTTAAAGGCGGTCATAAAATATGTGAATATGCCGATGCATTGAGTAGACTTCCTTATGATAAAATATGAGGGACGGTGTGATTTTGTTCATTAGGACGGTGGTCATGATGCTGAGTGTAGCAAGTTTTTTATTATGGCGTAGGACTAAATTTAAAAATGTAAAAGTGTTTTAAAAACACTTTCAGCCATCAATAAATTTAAAAAAAAATGTTCGCATTATTACTCTTTATTTACAAGAGACCGAAATTTAAGCATACCCATATATGGATAATAACGTGCAGTTTTCCAAAATAACGGGTGTGGCGGATTTCCCTTTTAAATCATGTATAAATAAAAATGGTTGTCTGCAAGATTTTTTCATTTAAACGCATCGGTTTAAGAAACGTCGTTTGAAAAATATTGTGTGCAGACATATCAAAAGACACACACACAGGCGTAGACAAAGGTAATTTTTATTAATTTTTTTACATTATTGATGATATTGATATTGTACGGGTATTTTGTTATGTGGTTTTCTGTTTGTTTGTTGAATTTGACCGCCGCGTTGTGTTCCAAACAGGGCACGATCGGTATCTTGTACTCGTTTAACCACTTTTCTTTTTACAGCTTTCTTTTTTTCGGCTAAAAAGCGTTTTCCAAATTTCTGTAGAAAAGCTTTGGGGTTTGATAACATTTGACGCATTTGCAGTTGTTTTTCGCGTATACCAGCCCTTCTTCTTTTAAGATTTGGTGTGGCGCTAAGGTCGGGTAGCTTTGTTTGTGTCATGTTGCAACTGATAGGGTTATTAAAGTATCGCTAAGTATTTATTGCCAGTATTGTGTGCTGTACGATGTGAAAATTTCTTGATTTGGCGGTATTGTTTTACTTGCTTTTAAGCGAAATATTTGTCGCCCTTTTATTCGCGCGTTATTTTGAAACGGTGTTTTACGGGCGTCGTTGGCAAACCGTGGCGCATCGTCAGTAGTATAATTTGAATCGATACATTGTCCCCGACGATTGCAGACAGCGTATTTTGCGGTTTTGTCACCGTAACATTGATCCAATTGTTTTTTTGTTGTCGCGCGCCCCGTAAATTTACCGATAGTATTACCGCGCGGTATTTTTTTCTTCCACGAGTATAACCCCTTTCCGCCGCCAATAATTTTGGAGGGTTTAATACGTAAATTATTTTGTTTGGCTAAATGAATCCAACATTTTTCAGTGTGTGCGGTACGTTTACGGCATTGTTGATCTTTTAGAGTGTTAGCAATGCAACGCTGTGATTTTCGAATACTTTGGGTGTCTTTTATGCCGCGTGGTTTTTCGTAGATATTGTTTAGAAAGTTTAAAATAAATTTTTCCCGTTTTTTTGACATCTTTTTAAAAAATAACTGTTACCCCCACGTATTTATCAATGTTTTTTTCAATATGCTCTGCTATCTTTATCATTTTAGACGTGACGTACGGCATTATACATTGTTCATTGTGAAGTGTTTCTACGCGAGTACGTATATCCCAAGGTTGTACCTGGACTATATGCCCACCGTCCCGGGCCCAATCTGTGAATGCTTCGGGAAAAATACGGTTCGAAACAATGACTTGGTCATCAGGATCTTCTGAAATTTCGTACGACGGTATGTATTTATCGGTGTTATTTGTACTAAAATAATTTTTTATGTATATAGTAATGTGTGTTAAAGCGTTACTCCCCATTTTTGCTGTACAGCACGACTGAAGGTTGAGATGGGTTCTGCTGTGACTCGTTTTTTTACGGGGAGTGATAGTCCGCTTATTAAAGTGCGGTGTATTTTTATAAATAGGAGTAATGACGTGGTCGTGGGTGAGGAAGGTGTAGACGGTTGCGAAAACCCAGACGAAAATCCTGACGAAAATTCTGACGAAAATCCTGAATATACAACGTGCTGTTGTATACAATGGCGAAAAGGAAGAATCCCGAAGACACCAACAGTAAAAAACAAAAACGTCACAAGTTAGACAATGAGGACCTGCAGGAAATAATAGATATGGTAAGAGTTAATAAAATATGTATTGAAATTACACCGAAAAACATTGCGGATATTGCAAAAATGGTTCGTGCAAATAGATTACAGAGACAAACAACAAAAACATCGCGTGGGAAAAGAAATTATAATATAGAAGATAGAGACCTTCAGGAGGTTGCAAATATTGTGGAAAAAAATAAAGAAAATACGCAAATACCGCGAAACGCTTTTCGTGTTGATCTAGTATGGACACATCGTCGCTTGGGTTATAATGAATATATTTATAATGTTAGAATAGGTGCGGGAAATATAACAACACTTCCTGAATTTTATGATTCTCTTTACGAGATATTTAGTTACCTAATAAATACAATGAATTATATAGCTAGTTCCCCAACCGATAAAGCACATTTTTATATCTCTAGAGCGCCTCGTACGGCTTTTTCCACGGCTATTTTAAATGTTTCTGATTTTAATGCCGATATGTTTTTTGATATTTTTGAAAAACATATGCAAAGTAATGCTCAGGAGGTGATTGATGGTGGGTGGAGTACGACTGTTTCCCTGTATATATTTCCGAATAGTTATATACCGCGAACGACAAGAGAAAAACGGTAAAAAAGAAAAAAGTTTATAAATCGATAGGAAAAAACTGTACGGATGTGGGTCGCGGTAAAAAAAAATTAGTACAAAAACATGGTCGTGAAATTCGAAACGGTGTTTTTCAAGTTGTTTCAAAATCGGATTGTTGTTTTGCTCTGGCAATATTGACGGGACGCTCTTTTCTCGATAAAGACGAACGACACGATAAACTAAACCTTAATCGTAATACACCGCTCGAAGACCTTTATACAGACGATGAAATTACCGACATTTACGAACAATGCGGATTAGATGTGGGGGGTGTTAGTGTTAATCAATTGCCCTGTGTTTACGAACGATTTTTAGCAGCGCAGAATATTGATTTAGTTGTATTTTCCAAAAATAATAATGATGAAATTGTATACGATTCGCGTATGCGTGGTACTGATACAATTTGCAGCATAAATTTAAAAGTTATATTTTTATGGCTTAATGACGGTCATTACGATTTGATACTTTCGCCAAATACATTTTCAAAAATGTGTGCGGGAAAATTTTGTTTTAAATGCATGAATTACTTAAGACATTGGGAACGTTCACGCACGCACGTATGCCGCACATCCTTTTCATGCTTAAATTGTTATAACGGTGGTGAAAAATGTGCGGACGAAGAGGGCTTTTTTATTCAGTGTCCGCAGTGTTTTGTGAATTTTAAAAATCGTGATTGTTATATGCGACATCTTACAAAAAAGGTTTTTAAAAAGGGTCCAAAACAGGAAACGGATCGGTATTGTGTGACACCATGTCAACAAATGTTTTTCTGTAAAACATGCTATAAAAAGGTTCCGCGTATGACTGTAATAGGTAAAAAAACAACAGCACATAATTGTGATATGATGTATTGCAAACATTGTAACGCCGTTAAAAAAAAAACGCACGAATGTTTTATGAAAGTTTGTAAACCGCCTAAAGCCCCTAATTTACCAACACTTTACTTTTTTTATTTTGAAACACGAAGAGATGCTGAGGGGTATATGATTCCTTTTTATGCTGTTATTCAAAAAGTATGCCAATTTTGTGATGAAAAACCGTTTGTGAAAAATTATGAACATTTTTTGCCCCATTCTGAAGACGCAACATGCGATATATCCATAGAATGTGTACCCTGTTGTGGTTATAGGCAATATATTTTAGAAAAACAAAATGATTGCATCACTAAGCAATTTATTGATTTTATGTACGCGCAACCCAAAAACAGTGTGTGGATTGCACATAATGGCGGACGTTTTGATACGGTATTTCTACTTCGCGAATTGCAAGTGGAAAGAAAAATTGTACCGCAATGTATTATGAACGGAAATAAAATCATGTGTATGGAATTGGAAGATCGAAATCTAAAAGTATTGGATAGTTTTTTATTTTTAAATATGGGGTTAAAAAAATTTCCAGAAGCATTGGGCATTCCTGATATTTGTAAAGGTTTTCACCCTTATCTTTTTTATGACTTGAATTATGTGGGCCCCATGGTTGGTTTGGAATATTTTGACCCGCCGTCCGAGGGCTCTGAAGAGCGCAAAGTTTTTGATGCTTGGTACAAGGAGCAAAAGAAAAAACCGTATATTTTTAGAGAGGCCATGTATTATTATTGCTGTTTAGATGTTGATATACTTAGACAGGGTTGTATTATATTTGCGCGATTAATTAAAAATATAACAAACGTATGTCCATTTTATGATAAAACTTGTCATACGATTGCGGGACTCGCATTAAAAGTATATTGTACAAATTTTTTAAATGAGGAAACTATAGGGCAAATACCCGCACAGGGTTATGGTCGGAATATTAAGCAAAGTGTTATTGCCCTATATTGGTTAAGAGAGATTGAACGTGATTTGGGGGGCATCACATTGTACAGTAAATTGCACCCCGACGGGGAGCAAAGTATTGCCGGTCATTATGTTGATGGATACTGTCCTGAAACAAGAACTATATATCAGTTTCACGGTTGTTTTTTTCACGGGTGTAAAGAATGCTATAATGGGGAAATGTTGAACGACATTGTTTGCGAAACATTTTATACACTACGCGAACGAACACATCGTATTACGGATAAATTTGAAAGTCAGGGGTATACAGTTGTTGAAATGTGGGAATGTGATTTTTTAGCCGTAAATAAGTTAACTAAAAAAACCATTGCAATGTTAAGAGAAAAATATTTTTTTATTAATACTAATCTTAATCCGCGAGACGCGCTATTTGGGGGTCGGGTTTCACCAGCAGTTATATGTACCGATGCGTGTGAAAAAAAATACGGTATTATGATTTTACATCTTTGTATCCGTATGTTCAGAAAATTAATGTATTCCCCGTAAAACATCCTGAAATTGTGCGCGGTGTGGAAAAATGTAGCAAACTTAATTTGGGGTTTGTATTTGGATTAATTAAATGTAAGATACTTCCACCTAGAAATCTTTTATTTCCTGTTATCCCTTATCGTACCACTAAATTAACGTTTCCACTATGTCGTACTTGTGCGGATAATTTATGCGATGTTTGCACACACAATGAAGAAGAACGTGTGTTATACGGCACATGGACAAATATAGAAATACAAGTGGCGCTAAAACACGGGTATAGGGTAAAGGAAGTTTACGAAGTCTATAATTATAAGCAGCGTGAGAAAATTTTTGACACGTATGTCAACACTTTTATGAAATTAAAACAGGAAAGCAGCGGGTTGCCAAAAAATTGCTATGATATTCAGGGTAATGTAGACGAGAAAAAAGTCAACGAATATGTAGAGGAATATTTTAGACATGAGGGGGTGCAATTGGACGCCAGTAAAATTTCATATAACCCGGGACAAAGAACAGTTATGAAAGCGTTGTTAAATTCATTATGGGGTAAATTAGCACAAAATGAAAATGTACCCGTTGTATCGTTTGTTGGTTGTTTTCACGACTTATTAGAAATGGTTAACGATTTAAGTATTGAAGTAACATCACTCGATTTTATAAGCGACGACGTAGCACGCACAACACACCGAAAGGTTTCGTCCTTGGTAACTTTACCAAACAGAAATGTAGTTATAGCGGCATTTGTAACAGCGTATGCACGTTTAGAACTATTTAAAGTTTTACATAAATTGGGGGAGGACGTTTTGTATTACGATACTGATTCTGTAATCTATGTGGAAAATATTGAGAAAGGACACGTTTTAAAAACGGGTAGTTATTTGGGGCAACTAACGGATGAATTATATGATAAAAAAGCGAAAAGCGAAAAATGGATTGAAACGTTTTGTGCTACCGGTCCAAAATCATATTCGTATCGAACCAATGAATATATTAATGAGGATGGTGATAAAAAACGCGATGAAATTGACCATGTTAAGGGGTTCTCGTTAAAAGGCGATAATAAAAAGAAACTTACTTTTGATAGCATTGAACAATGCGTGCACGATCGAAAAAAGAAAATCACAACATTTTATACGGAATTTACGCGGTCAAATAATCAAACAATAAATGTTCAGCAAGTTCAGAAAAAATTTCAATTTACATTTGATAAGCGTATTATTCGTAATGATTTTACGACCGTTCCATACGGGTATATTGATGCATAAATTATCTTTTTCGTAGGGGCATAATTTGACGGATTGCACGATCCCATTTCAACATCCGTTTATGATGACGTTGTGCGGGCCCTCTCAAAGTGGGAAATCCTATTTGGTCGAAAACATAATAAAACACCATGAAGCTCTAATCAAACCACCAATTGACAAACTAATATACCTTTACTCTGTGGACAACTATGACAGTATTAAACAACACATTCGTGACAACAAACACACATCGACACTTAAATCGTTTGAGTTTATTGATTGTAATGCGGGCATACCGTCAATGGAAGCCATTAAAGAAAAATTGGGCAAAAGTACATTAATAGTTCTAGATGATTTGATGATAGTTGCGGGTGCAAACAGCACGAATCTTACTAATTTAAATAATATTGCGTCACGCGACAGCCATCATTCAAATGCCTCTGTGATTTTTGTATGCCAAAATTTAAATTACGGCTCTGGAAAATTACGAAATTGCCGTGTAAACAGTCAATATCATGTCATGTGTAAAAGTCTGACCTGCTTTAGAGATGTAGAAATGATAGCATCAAATAAAAAAATATGTAAAAATAAAATACATAAAGTGATTGAAGATGTAGGTAAAAAGGAGTATGGATATATAGTGTTTGACGGCTGTCCAAAAGGATGTGCAAATACACATATAAGAACGGGAATTTTTCCCAAGGATAAAACAGTTGTATATGATTTGTGAAAAAATAAAAAATTTTTAACTTTGTATTTGATATATTTCACTATATGATTTACATATTTGTCCCCCACTATTGAGACATTTATTCGTATATAATTTTTTTAAGGTAGAAAATAATGAATAACATGTTTGCTGCAACGTCTGTTCATTCTGCATTAAATTGTCAATTTTATGCGTAAATAGATTACTACGTATAATATGCATACCAGTATAATAAGATTTTAGAAATAACAAGCACCAGCAACCGCATGTTCTACTAACATGCGATTGAATTTGCGACGTATTATACAATTGCATTTTACATTTTAATTTTACAAAGTATTGTTCCCACCAGTGTCGTTTAAAGAAAAACGGTGTTTTACCGTAACTATCAAAAAAATAAATTAGTTGCTTTTCTTTTATAACGGCAATCCAATGTGTGCCGGGTTTGTCCTTTTTGTCCACATTCCATATCCAACAACATCTTGCTCTAGCGGTACCCTGTGGTGTTACATCGGCAGGATAGCACCCCAGATAGTGTGGCGAAATATCCGGATCATCTTGCGCTTGTCGGTCTAAATTGTCCGTATTTAAAAATTTGCTAATAAAGCATGTTAATGTACCCATGTTTTAAACCATGTACGCTCGTGACTTTCCTTTTTGTCTAAACGGTGTTATCTGTCCAATATCCTGCGGTGGCGGTGTTTCATAGGCTGCTGGTGGCGACGCGTGCGACGTTGATGCTGCAGATTCACTTAATGATCGATATTGACCCTTAAGATTTTCACTACGTATATAATAAACGGGCATACTTAATTTTTTTAATTCTTTCAGTAATTTTTGGTGTTGTATCTCATTTAAATTTGTCTTTTTTTTCGTTACATTTTTTGTAAGATCAGCCACCATATCATCCAAACTAAAATTAAGTGTTTTGTTTCCAAATTTTGTTCCTTTGTCCGTTTCTACAACCCCTCTTTGTTTGAGAAAACTACGTATTAGTTTTTCTGAGCTTGCTAATGATCCCGGTTTTGGCGCAGGACCACCTGCTGCGGGTTGACCTGCAGCAGCAGCTGTTTCCTGTAGTTCTTTTCGATAATTTTTTCTTTTTTTTGAATAATTAATGTCATCGGTAGCATTGGGTTGTTTTTTTGCGACACTGGCCATCATATTTGCATATCCTTCAATTAATTCCCCTTCGACCGCTGTTTGTTTGGCCTCGTCTAGAATTCCTTTGTTGGCGACTAGTCGATCTATGTTTTTGATCATCGCGTTGTATTTTTCGGTGTCTATCAGCATCAGTCGTTTTACGTCCTCCCCCATTGTCGTCTTCGTTACCCCGAGATATTTCTATTTGTTTAATAGCAAGACTGCAATAATGTTGTACCGCAAATTCTTCGAGTAAACGTAAGCGCATGTCTGCACGGTTTGTAGTTCTATCGGCAATGTGCGTAAATAAAGCTTTTTCACACTCTGATATATTTAATGGTATTTTACCGTTTGCTATGTTCCGGCATAAAAACACCAAATGCGACACTAATTGTTTGTTATCATTAAGCATTTTTTCTTTTTTGGCAAAAGTTGCAGCTAAAAACCTTTTAGTTGCCGGTATAAATTTAGATTGTTTTTGTTTTTGAATAGTCATACAATGTGCATCCCATATTTGTTTTAAAAATAAAGCAGATGCTTCATTATTTACTTCCTCTTCATCATCGGCCGAATAATTTTCATCCCCAGAATAATCTTTTTCACTGTCATATTCACTTTCATTTTCATCATCATTATTATTTTTCACCGTATTTTCATCATCATCATTATTTTCATCATTTTCTGTGGGGTCTACTTGTTCTTCTTCTTCATAATTATTTTCTGTGGGGTCTATTTCTTCTTCTTCATTATCATAGGTTATTTTCTTTTCATCATCCATATTTTGATATTACGGGTTTTACGTGAATTGTTCGTATTGCAATGCCACCCCAGCCAATGACATGATTACGTCTTGCACCGGGTATATGTAAAATATTTCGGGGTGTTTTTTTTACCGTCTTAAGTCCTCTTTTCTGTTTAACAGGCATCGTTCATATGATACATAAATCATTTAATACGCGAATTTTAAACGTGATTCCGTTTGGTATGCACAAGATAATTGATTTCTGAATTCGCCAACCACTATCAATTGACTTGCCGCAGCAAGTCCGTTATTAAGACGTATTTCAAGACTTACAATACCGCTAGTTGCATTGGGCAATATTTGATTGTAACTATCTTTGTTTTCAGATAAATCAATTGCAATAAGACCATAATCGGTTAAATAATTTTTGTAACTAAACGGCATCTCATCATATTTACGATTTAAAACACGTCGTAAATTTATGTATGCTTCTTTTGAATTTTCAATTGTAGGTTCAACAAAAGCTTCGTTAATTTTAACACCTAAAAATTCTAAATCTGGAAAAATCATTCGATTTGGATTGCTAGTATGCGCACCGTTATATCGTGCCTGTGTACGAATATAGATAAACATACGCGTTGGTCGTGCACCCGTAAAAAGATCATTTTTTACAATTTTACGTGTGCCTATTGCAACGGGTATGGGCACATAACGATGGTGACGTATATAATATTTTGCTTCTTCGCCTTTCTGAATCATGGCGCTGTTAATGGCGGCCATTAATTGTGCTTTTGGCTTAAACGCTTGAACATGAATTTCTAAATCTGAATAACGAATTTTTGCCGCAGCACAATGGTCTGCAGCACCCATTAAGGTTTTTGTTTTTTCTAAACGCCTTAATCTCACGGTCATATTAAATGATGACACAACATACCGCTTATTATCACCCATTACATTAACGAAATCATAACATTTGAAAGGTACATCTCTTTTACACAATAAATAGCGTTGGCCAAGACCTTTATTAACGTGCGTTGCATCGGTTGGATCTCTCATTTCTATTATACTATCACTACAATTAGCCGCACCAGGAGTATTATGAATACATCCTGTTATTTCTTGATCGGGAGTATAGGCCTGAGGTATTTCGCGTGTTAAATGATTTATGAATTCAATTTCATTTTCCTGTGATGACAACGAATTAATGCGTTGATTATTCACCAATACTTCTCGTGACTTCCATCCCAATCTAAGCGGTGATTGACAAATTGCCACATTTTGAGTGGCTGCCAATTGGGTATTATCAAGGCCCGTAATTGTAATGGTTCCAGTAATTCTTGCGTTTTGAAGATCCATAACACCATAATCGTTAGGTGCATGATTAAATGTAAATTCATCAGCATCAGGATTAGAAATTGGTCCTGCAACTAATTTAAATTGACGACTTTCCACAAATGTATCATTGTGTGGAAATGGAGGAAACATCATCATGGGTGACATAAACCCACTATCGTGAACCTCAACGGGTTCATCATCGGCCTGTGCATGTGTGCGCTTCATACTTGTGTACGATATGAAAGATAAACCACAAATGATACAGTTTTATAATTTTTATTACACTTATATAATTTTACATTGAATTAAGATAGTAATGTCAACGATACCATTTTTTCTGCGGTTTTCTTGCTCTACGTTTATTAACACGACCACCTATTTGTTTTTTTTGTTGTTGTTGTTGTTGTGGTCGATAGTACTGTTGTGGTTGATAATAATTCGGGGGTGGGTAATACTGTTGCGGCGGCGGGTAATACTGTCGTGGCGGGCGATATTGTTGCTGTTGCTGTTGTCTGTTGTAATTATTATTGGTCACCTGTTGTCTCTTTTTACCAAAAATACCGGGCAATATTTTTGTTGCAGCACCCAGAAGAGCCGGTATTGCTAGACCCGCAGCCATTGCCATTCCCGCACCACCCCCGTCTTGTTTTTTTTTTACCACGCTGATGTTTTCCCCCCTTAAAATTTCCACCATCTTGTTTTTTTTTACCACGCTGATGTTTTCCTCCTTTAAAATTCCCGCCAAATTGCTTTTTTGATTTTGTCATCTTTACTCTAAGCCGTTTCAAATTCAAATAGTTTACTATGTCCAAAAGTATAACTATTTATTTCCAAAAATATGTTTCAAAACGTTCGGATCGATAGTTTGTTTTCTTGATTTTGCTCGCTCGGGAAGTTTTCCGCACCGTCTTACTTTAGGATCGGGCATATAATTAGGATTTAAGTGAGGTGGTGGACAAATACTGTCTTGGGAACGTTCTTCGATAGTTTTAGCTATTGCCGGAATATACCATAAATTTACACACCCCGGATGTTTTTGTCCGCGACCGTGTCATTCATTACTCTCAAAAAGATTTAATACTATTTGATACCACTTTCCACTTAAGGCAGCCGTATGTAAATTTGTATTATCGCCCCAATTTATATAAAAAATAACGTTTTCTTTCAACTGCGCTAGGTCGCTAACCAGTAGATACTGAGGAAGTTTTTGTCTTTGTCCGTTTATATTTGTGTTGTTAATGTTTCCATTTCCTACCATATGCATCAATAAATGATCATCAAATGTCATAGCTTGTAATGCATTTGCACTCATTGCAATACTATTATTTTTAAAATTGGTGATTTTTCCTTTTGACCAACGTCCGGATACATTTTTTGTCGCCCCATTGGCCAAACCGCTAAAATTTAATGTACGGGCACACCAAAAACTTCCCATATCAAAATTTCCCATATTTGATCTTTTTGCAGCAACATTGTAATATACGTCATCGGTTGTAGTTTCGGCAAACCCCGTTAATGCATAACTCGTAGGAATAAATTGATTGTTAATAATTTTACAGCCTATTGTCAATGTCCCCATTATTCAATCGATTATACATTCGACCCCCACACTACCGCCGTTAAATTGAATTAAATTATTTTCAAGATCGCAAACCCTTATATGTAAATGTGTAATTTGGCTATTAATTAGTTCTCACGTAATTGACGGTAAACTGTGTGTGTACAAACCCCCGGCTGCCATTTCATTATTTGGGAGAATTTGTAATTGCGCTAATAATGGACCCCGAACATCACCCACAACGGACGGTACAACTTCGTCACAATAAATAAACATACGCGTTTTCCCATTGGTCATATCTGGACCATATTTACCGTAAAAAAAATACCACAATTGATTTATTGATTCATTATTAAAATTAGCAACTAAAATAGTGGATAAAATTGATTCCATCTCGGTTGGCGGTTGGGGGCTCGTCCAAGAAAATCTACCCCCTTTGAATATATTTTCTACTGTGGGGTGCAACACATAGCCATCAAGACCAAGCATATATTTTAAATCTTTGGTCATTTCAAAAGAAAAATCATTGGCCGATTTTACAGTATATTTATCTTGCGCAAGATTATCGTTATTTTGATAACGGTATACGTAGTGTGGTGTAATACCCAGCGATACCCCCACGCGACCGCCGGGAAGTAATGAAAATCTCATTCCATATTCACCCACAAACCGATTTAACTCTTTAACCATCCTTTTTAATGTATAGTGTCCACGGGGTAAAAACATCCATTCCGTTTCGAATGTAATGTAATCTACTTGCGTTTGCGACGCTGGTGTTGCGGCATTCCAGGAAAGTTTATATGTAAAATGAATACCGCAAGATTTATCTTCCACATTATCAATCATCACGGGGTATGTCACATTTAAAGCACGTATAAATCGTTTTTTATTTTCACCATCAATTTGTTGCGGTAATGTCATCGTAAATTTATTATTATAATTTACATCGCCCAATTGATTTTTTGTATTACTAAAAACTTGTACATTCATATTGGTTGTAGTTCTTCACGATAAAATATGCCCGTAATTTTTTCGTTCTGTTTATCCTTTAAGGTGTACGTCACAGGATCGGTAATAAAAACTTTATCAATTATAAAAATTTCTCTACCCCAACGTCTTAAGCTTGATTTTTCAAAAATATTATTTTTGAGTCGTGCAATACGTACTGTTTGACCTGCACGCAACAGTTTGCGGGTGGCTGTGAACCCGATAAGTAATTTTTTAGGATTTTAAACTTTAAAAATGCGGGCATTTTTTCATTTTTGTACAAGTCAACGGGTGTTTCATTGTGAATACCCCGATGTGGTGCCTCGTTATATCTTTCAATAATAAGCGGAAGATATTTAATAAATCGATAGCTTGAAAACATAGTCAGCGTACTCTGAATCATGTTCTTGATAGTTTCAATAAATCTTTCTGCATGTGCGGCTTTTATGTCACGATTTTGCGTGTGAAATAGTGTAAAATTATATTTGGGAGCAAGGATTTTTTTGATATTATTAAATTCTGTACCCTCATCGGCTTGTATTTTTTTAGGTGCGCCGTTTTCAAGAATAATTTCTTCAAATTTAGCCGCAACATTTTTGGCTGTTTTTGTTTTTAGCAATTTCACAAAAGCATAACGTGTCCCCACATCGATACACACAAGCAAATAACGATATTGATTATTATACTTTGACAAGTTGTTTAAATCTGCTAAATCAATACTCCATTGTTCATTTTTTTTATATACATGAATTTTTAAACGTTTTATTCTATGTTTTTTTTTGGCGTGCAATGTATACAAGTTCTTTTGTTCCTTTGTTAATGTCTCTCCTTTTAATAATCTTGCAGCTTTTTTAATAAGTTCTGTGTCATCCATCACTATAAAAAAAAATTTTATATTTTTAATCTATTTACACAATGATAATAATAATTAACTAATTCTTCATTTTTTTTTACAAAATTTATGTAATTATTATAATCATAAGTTAATTTTATTTTTTCGTGATATTTTAAAACTGTTTCTACAGCGCTGTTCTTTTCGCTCATATGGGAAATGATGGCTGCAATTATTTGTTTTTGCTAAAAGAAAGAAACGTACGATTAATATTCGCACAAGTTTCTTCTAAATACGTGGACACACTCAGAAAATTCGCATAAGGATACGGACACATTTTATACATCTCTCTTCCAAATCGGGAAATCGTTTCTTCGCAATCTTTTTTATATTTACACATGAAAACCATTATCAGTTTTGTAGCCATACTTTGTAACGCTAAAAATTTTCTCACCTCCGACTTTTCAGAATCTTCTTCAACCACAACCTTTTTTGATTTCTTTACGCCTCCTTTAGTACCCTCTTTGTTCTTTCGTTTCTTGGGTCCTTCCAGCTGTTTTTGTTCCACGGGTGTTGAAGGTGGTGGTGCAGGCGGGGATGGGGGTATCACGTCAATACCATTGGAGGAAGGATTCAAAATACTATAGACCTCATAACAAAACTCACGAATAACTGTGGCAAGTTTCTTCCAGTCGTCATTCTTGTTGATATAAAATTTGTCGAAACACTCGACCCAACTATCTTCCACACGGGGTGCGGGTACTGGGGACGCGGTCGGTGCAGGATCAGGACAATCGGTTGTGGTTGTGACGCCAAAGTCGACAGGTTTTTGTGTTTTTTTCAACTTGCAGACTTTTAAACCGCCATATTCACTACGCGTTAATATCGTACGATATTCGTTACCGTACGAATCTTTACTTGTACCTAATTCGGCGTAATTTTTCGCCTGATCAGATTTCACCATAGTAGGCAGGACATCGGCGAGCGTTTCCATTTCATCGTACGCCATTTCAATACCCGAGTCATAAATATATTTATCGCCACCCTGTGATAAATGGCCAACAGTCAAACCACATTTCTTAGTCCATTGTTTCATTAGGACCATTTTGGTTTTACCATTTTCATAGGTACCCAAACTTTTTTCAACAAGGGTTCTTTCACGTTTATAAATCTTAACTTGTTCCTGTTCAGCCATGTTAAAACCTTGGTGTGCAGGGTGCGAGTGAAAAAATTTAAAAACTAAGCGAATATAAAGGCCAATAGACATGTGACAGCGCACCCCACTGTGTTAATTAAGTCGGCGAATTTATTTCGTTTGTCCAATTCAGAAATAACACTTTGCGTAATTTTAGATGCCATGTCCATATATGTCTTTTTATGTTCAGGGGTTGAAAAATACAAGCGTTTCTGTTTAAATAACATACGCGCTATCGATAATACGTACAATTTATGACAAAAACTTTTATTTGCAAAATCACCGTCAAGAATTGCAAGCATTAAATCCATAACAAGTGTTTTCTCGGTTATAACCGTATTTATTTCAGCCGAATATTTTTTTTCTATAACGTCAAGAATTGCATCAAATTGTCTTCGAATTAAAGGTTGTTTAAAATAAACATTATGCCCCATCCAATAATAATATAAAAACACATCTGCTCTTTTCTGCAAGCGTTCTAATTCCTTTTCATATTGTATCAAAGACCACATTTTCTGCATTTCAATGAACTTTTCCATATCTTACACATATCCTTGTAAGACGGCGCATACGCGCATTCTAAATCTACGACACACATTTAAAAACTTATATACACTTTTATCCATATAATACCCTTCCTCTAAAAATGTTTTTACAATCTTTTTTTTGCTACATTGTTCTCTACCGTACGATATTATTCGTCCTAATAATTTTCGCATTTCAAAATCACCTAAAGTTAATTTAGTAACGCGCATTATCATTGTTCTGCGTCTTCGCGCTTTGGTCTTTTGTATAGTTACATATTTTAGCCTTTCATCTTTGGTTCGTAAAAAAAATATCCATTCTTTTCTGTTAACCACTAGTTCTATATATTTGCTGCACTTGTATATTGTATCCCTGTGTAGAATATTCACAGATGTTGTATTTAAGATGCAATTTTCAGTGTTTTGAACGACATGATACCGTCTTTCCATAATTCCACAGCATATGATTTACCATACAACAAAGCAGATAGTTCTTTAATGATAAAATCTGAATATATTGTTCCAAATAGAGCAATCATACTGATAGCTATAACACGTTTATCCTCAATTGTTTGGCATACTTGTAGAAAATACTCTAAACTCTCAAAATCTAACGTATACTCAGACCAATACAAACAAGAAATTGTTTTACTTATACAATCTATATCAATATTGCAATCCTCGCGATTCATAAATGTATCCCTTTGTAAATTTTTAATCTTGAAAGTTTTTATACGTCTATTAAACGACTCATATTCATTTATACAAACCAATTGTTTTGTAGCTTTACCACATGTATCTTTGTAAAAACAAACAGTTCCTAATTTAAATGTGCCTCTAGGAAACGTCGTCTCCATTTCTGTAATCTTGCCACCGTCGTTAAATCACAGTAAAACCTATTTTTACATAATTCCACTTGCAACGTTTCAGTATTTGAATATGCTGAAAAATGTATTTTTTCCAATATATGACTAAGATAATGGTGGTACAAATACCCTGGTCGCGGTATTATTATTACATGTCTATAATCACCAAACGCTGTCAAAGTAAGTTTTAAACGTACGCCAAGGACACCATAAACCGTAATACTTATACCGATAGGTCCAACTTCAGTAACATCTATCACTTGCCATAATGGTTTATCCAATTCTGGTTTATAAAGAGTATCTTTTAAAAGTAAAACAGTCATTCTCAAATGATGGCTCAGTCCGGGGGGAACTTTACTGGTCGCAGACATCAACGTGGCCAAAAAAAACAAATGGGAGGGTTTTTACCTTTTTCAGGTGCAGCCCTTCTTACAAAAACTTTAGGTGTTGGTGGGGGTGGTGGTGGTGGTGGGGGTAAACGTCGTCACCGTCGCAGCGGTAGGGATGTGGATAGAGAAATGATGAGTAGAATGAATAAACAACTTAAAAGACAACAACAACAACTTGAAAAAGCTCAAGAAGAACTAAGAAAAAGTCAGCAAACTCGCTATAAAAATTGGGGTCCCCCAAAACGAAGAACCGGTTATGATGATTATGATGATGATGACTATTGGGAGCCGCCAAAAAGAAGAAGAAAAAGAAGAAGAAGAAAAAGAAGAAGACCGCCGCCATATCAAAGAGGGGGAATTGTGGCAGGAGAACATGAATTAGCACGCAAAGCTATGAGAGATGCAATAACAACACAAGCTTATTTAAAAAAAGTTTAAAAATAATTTTTTATTCCTCAATTTTAAATTCTGGTGCTATAACAGCATCTGTACTACAATCACAAAATAAATCTTTACATACTAAATTTAATCGTTTCTGTTCACTATTATACTTTAAAATTCCATAAGCACCACATTTTAATGGTTTAGCATTAATGGGCAAATATGCCCACGCGTCATCCTCCAAGTCAATTTTTTGTATTATTGTATGTATAAAAGTAAATGAATCTAATTCGTGAAAATATGTCCCGCAACCTTTTTCGCCACGAGGACATTTGTATATTTCGCCGTCTCGTTCACAGAATTTTTCGCAAACACAACGAATTCTTGAATTTCTTAACTGTGGCATAGAACGTTTAAAATCACACACACCGTTTCGACATATAAAAAATAACTGTAGTTCATTAAGAACGGGTACAAATTCCAAACTTGCTTTTAACGTTGTTCCACATTCACATGTTAACTTTCTATCCTTAAGTTTTAAATACGGTTGACAAGCATCCATAACCTCTACATATTCCTCAAAATGAGCATTATCAGCTTCAATGCTAAACTGACAACGTAAATCGGCACAAACATAACGTGGAATTGACAAAATTTCACATGTCACAGCACACATATCATCACAAACGCACCAAATATATTCACACACAATAGTTGAAACACCGTCCCAATTTTTACAAGATATACACTTGCACGGTAATAAACCGCTAAAAACACTCGTAAATTGATGTTCCATTAATAAATTTCGTATTCACCGTGCTTCAAATCCCAAAGCATGTTACGCGACACAAAACCATCCAACGTCTGCTTGCTATCCTCAATGTCATTGTCTATTTCCGTGGCACTAATTTCACGTCGACTTGGATGCCAAATTTTAAAAATATCAATACCCCGTTTTGTAGGATAATGTCGGCATATAAAATCATCGTATAGTTGCATCTTAGAAATAGGTTTATAAGAACGTTGTAGTGCCGTAACATACTTAGTATCTGTAAACTGCTTATCAGAATATTTTATATTATAAGCAATAACTGTTGCATAATTATTAAACGCATCGTTTTCCACAAGCGTCAACGTTTCATCAACCATTTTAGCCGACGCTGTAGAAAAACACCACCACATTCTTTGTGCATTCGGTCCTGGTGTATTTTTTTCCATAGCCCGATAATATGAAATGGGTACAAACTGAATCTCTGTCATTTTCAAATAGAATGATATATAACATACAAAGTATTTATAACGGCCCAGTCAAATAGTGTAGCCAATTCTTCGCCCGTAAAAATAACATATATTTTTACACTGTACGGAAGAGTAATGCAAAATCTAAGCTTCATAATACATACTACAAGCTACATATACATATACATATACATATACATACCACTACCATATATGGAAACAGGGTAACCCTCTAAATATTATAAATAAACGAACATTTATTTACATTTTTACAAAAAATGGCTCATGGGTACAGTAGTAGTAGTAAATGCAAATATTGTCCGGAAAAATTTGCATGTCCATGTCCAGCAAAATGTGAACAATGTTATTGTGCAGTCAGAATTTACCGCAATACAATTCAAACATTACACGAGGAACATACAGACAAAAGATTTACTTGGTGTGGTCCAAACCCGCAAGAATCTTGTGAACCACCCTCATTGCGGGAAAGACTTATCCCCAAAGAAAAACCGCAACCAATGATATGGAATAAGGATAAGAAGAAATATATGACTGAGGCACCGATTCCACGGGTAAAGAATAAGCTTACGAAAAAATGTTGGCCAGAAAAAGTCCAGCCTGTACCAATGACTAGCGCGTCAGGAACATGGTCTATAAATTCAGCAGCTAGTCTTGCAAGAGCAAAAAAATTCAAGGACAAACAATTACAACCAAAAACTAAATTATTTTATTGTTTTAAACAAATGAAATATGGTATTTACTGTTGTGATCAATGTTTCTTACTAACTAATAGTACATAAATCAGGACTTGTGTACACATCTTCTGGTTCCTTCTTTTGTTCAAATGATGCTACAACATAGCGTTTATTATCGGCCACAGCATCGATGGGGATGGGTGGGGGAATAGGGGGTCGAATTATACCATCATCGGTGGCGTAAATGAGTGATAACTGCTGTTCTCCATCCATTCGTATCCACGCCTTAGTTGCTTGTTGAAACTCCATTTTGTTTGGTTCGAAATATTTGAAATGAGGTGGTCCATACGCGTATCCATTGCTTATAGTTGCTTGTTGAAACTCCGTTTTGCTTTGTTCTTGTAACTTTTCTGCTAATTCTGCTAATTCCAGTCTTTGTTCGGTTAGAAATATCTTGTCAGCTTGTTCTTTCATTTTCTTCAGTTCTTCATCACATACACACTTTCTTCGCTTTGGTGTACTAGCCATGACTACTACTACTATAACTACTACAATTATATAATATATTCACACACCATATATGGATAAAAAATTTACGATGCAAAGCTATACACTTTATACGTATCACATAACGCATATACAAAATCTAAAAACTTGTAAATGTCATAAACGTGTGTATGTCTAAAAGTTTCTTTACTCATCGCCAATTCGTAATACAATAAAGGGTTTTGACAAGGATTCTCATTGGGCATAAAAACCATTTTGTAGCCGTATCGTTTTAAAAGCTCTTCATAAGCACCGTCTATCATTAAACGTTTATCTTGAAAAACCTTGTCTACACATGCTAGCCACCGATCATACGTACAGGTTTCACAATCGTCGCCAAAATCTTTTAATATATAAAGTCCACAAAAATATCCGCGCACAATATTGTAGACTCTTCTTTGCTCTTCTTCAGTACCCGTCTCGGACCATTGTTTGGGTTTATTCACAGCGACAACTTTCGTTTGTTCCCAGTCGAACATTTTGGTTGCGGCTTTTCAAAATCAAACAATATTCCTGCAACATGCATACCCGTTATAAATACACTTTCAAAATCTGTAATCTGAACTGTATTGGACACCATAAAATATTTCCAAAATTTCACAACAAACTGCTGATGACAATAATTTGCTAAAAAACAAGCAGAATAATCTTGATTACCCAAAACACACATACACGCTATTTCCCACTCATCCCACGTTATTTCAAATTTGCGTACAATTAAATCGTTGCTATAAAATGAAACCGTAATAAACATAACCGTATATGGAAATGGAATTTATTTTTATTTTTTTATAAATTACGCACGCAAAAACCTTTCGAAAGCAAGCAAAGTGCAAGCAAAGTGCAAGCAAAGAAAAAAATGGCTTTTAAATACCATCACGAAGCAGCTGCACAGTTATACGACAAAACTTGCACAACAATATTAGAAGATGGGTCGAAATGTCTACAACTACATTGTCCCCATGCCGAAGATACCGGTGTCTGTGAAGCGGGTAATGATGATGAGCTATTCAACGATCGATTCTGCACCGAATGCCGTATGAGCATATATTGGTATTTACGGGGAAAAACCAAAGAAATGCGTCTGGAAAAAGTCGAAAAAGCGAAAACAGAAGGTAAAGATTATTTTATTGCTACGGGATACCAAAGTGACGTGGGGTGGCAATACGAACATGTAACAACACGCCAACTATTTCACGATCCCCAAGAACCCAAAACCGAAGAAATTATTGCTTCTGTCGGCGCACGATGGTTAGAAAGAGAGAAAAACAAAAAGCCCGGGGAAAAACTTCAAACAACACTTACAAGCTTTTTTACTATGAAGTAATTGAACGTCTTTTACGTTGTAATCTTTTGGGACGTTTATTAGCAACACTTTTAAGACGGTGATAATAATAAATATTTACGCCTGTATCTTGTTCCAATTTGTGTCTTAAATCTTCAATTTGTTTTGCCTGCTCAGACTCCATATAAAGCAATGCTGGGGCTGTAGAACAATTTATCATTTGCGGCATTACAACTCCTTCGCTTGGCGTTGAAACCAACTCCATTGTACAACGTTGAAGTTGCATCATTAACAACTTGTACAAACTTAAATCTTTGTCAATATGATCCGGAATTACACCCCGTTCCACTAATTTTGTAACAAGTGTTTGTAATTCCCACTTCGCATGGTCCGAATTTAAAAACTGCGCAAATAACCAATCTTTTACAACTTTCTCAAAAACTCTAGCCATCTTACACGTACAAACGTCAGCATACAAATAAATCCTACCTTTATTCGTCTTCTGCATCTTCCAACATTTCATCAACAAATTTGTAAATTCTTTCATTAGCTTTTGCACCATTTCTAATATAATCTACATATAACTCGTACAGCATTTTCAGCTTTTCAGGTTGTAAATATTCACATTTCCGCTTCCCGTATACATCATCCAATAAATTTTCAAACCGGTATAAAATGCTTAGATCATCTAGCATATCAAAAGTATAGAAATACGCGTACTCATCAATCACCGATTTACTTTTTTCAACCCATTCATCCTGAGCTAAATAGGGGGAAAATTCCGTTTTCTTTTGTATTTTCTTCTGTACAATATACATTAACATAAAATTTGACAACTCCTCCTGAATCGTTACATTGTAGCAGACATCTGCCCAATTGTCAAGATAATCATACCCTGTCTCCGTAATTTGGGCATCAATTTTCTTAAAATTTTCACACATCCTTAATGTTGCACGGTTTTTACAAACTGTACTAACTTCATCTCCAGGGCAATGGTTTATATTGCACTAGAAGTGTAGTTGGTATTGTATGTAAAATATCATCATGAACGGGTATATTTTATGTGAAGATACAATATTTTATTGCAATAAAACTGTAAAACTAACAATGGATGGCGATGAAAATTTCACAGTTTATCTCAGCGCAATACATCGTGGAGAAAATAAAATACGTACGCATTACATTCGCCTACGCTGGCACACAACATATTGGGGCAGTTGGTTATACGGCACATCGTACCACTATGAAACACGAATGAAAGCTTTTATAAAGCAATTTTATCTATATGTAAAAATGTTAAAACAATCCACATCATGTTGCCGATTTATTGATGTAAAAAAAGATATTTATAAACATTTTGCATCAAAGGGATACCTGCTCGACAAATCTATCTTTAAAATAGCGATTCACATCCTATGCTATCAAAAAACATTCCTAGATCCAAAAATAGAAGACTACCAATTGGGATATTTATGCTGCTTTTAGTAAGTTGTTGTTTTCCCACAAGGTGATAAAGGTGATAAAGGTGATAACAGTTCTTTAGGACTGCAATCGTCATTTGGGATCACAAATTTACTTTTTCACAGATCTGTAATGGCTATATTTATTTTTGTATTCGCTTTTACACATCTGAGAAAACACCCTTCTTCAGGGTTGTAATAAGCAAATTTGATTTATTACAACCAATTTGCTTTTTACAGCTCTAAAAACCGGTGATAAAGAAATATGAAAATTGGCTTTGATATCCTTGTGGGTTTCTACACACGGATATTAAAGTCAACTTTTTTGTTTCCTAATCAACAGCTGTACATTCCATACCCATATTTGGTGATTACCCTCACAACTTGTAAAATATTGCAGATATCCCCACAATTACGTTTGCTGATGCAACATGTCATCCTAAACCGGCTGGAATGTTTGATCCAATTTTGGCATGGTTGAACGGGCAGTTGGTAAAAATTATTCCTGTCTATGGTGACGAAAAACCCCGGGAATATTATGGTTTCTGCGATATCTGTGGCCCCCAACCATATGGTATAGAAAAATGTGATGATAAACTACACCGCGTAAAAAGCATACAAAACGACATCGCCACCCTGCGCAAAAAAACTGAAATACTGCAAAAAGATTGTGAAGAAGGAATAACCCGAGAAGGCATCGATAAACAAATCCAAACATTAAAAGATATTCTAAAAATTACTGTTGACGCAAAAAAATTGTAAATTTGTAATACAATACATTTTTTTACCACTTCCGTTTTCAATATTCGTCTATATAAGTTCGGCTACAACGAGTAGCACACACAAGTAGCGCTTACAATTCGAAGAAACAAAATATCAAATATTTCAGTATATATCAACCAATTTTTCAATCGCCATGCTTTTTAGCAGGCGGCAAATAAAAATAATATCTTAAGAGAAAATCAAATTTATTCACAAACACACTCGTAACCACACTTATTACAATTTTTTTTTAAATATTTTTAAAATATATTTTCAATACTTTTAAAATAAACTAAATCTACTAACTCGTAAACTTGTTTATAACGTCTGTCCATAATGCGCCTTTTTGACCCCGCACTCATATTGTGAAAATAATATTTCATCTTTAACAACTCGGGAATTGTTTTTTGACAAAAAATTCCTTCTGGCTGTATGACACCAAACACGCTGATACACTTCAAAAATGTCTTGACCATCGAACCCCATCCCGTGGCTATATCATTCGTAAAATTATCGCACCACAGCTTCAACACTTCTCCCGAAGGTGCACCAGAATGGTCGGTGGGAAGACCTTCATAAACATGTTTCCATAGATAACGCGCAACTATATGTTCAAATAAATGTTGTTGTTGCTCTGCAGTACCCTTCCAATGTTCGGGTTTTTCCAATTTAAAATTTTTTACTTCTTCTAAAGCAAATACTTCAATTGACGTACGCATCAATTTATCGTCCATTTCAACCCAAAATTTTTTCTCGCTAACTTCAGCCATATCAACTGACAAATTTTCTAAAGCAATTTTTTTTAAATAGATATTCAACATGGAAATTCCATACCCATATTTGGTTATTACCCTTACAACATGTAAAATATTGTAAATCCTCCCAATATTATGCTCACAACAGGTATTGTAATTCAATACATTTTTCAATTCTCCTCCTCTGTATAAGTCACACACATAAGTAGCAATACCCCATGGATAGCAATACCAAAAACAAAACAACAGGGAATCGAATCTTCTGTGCTGTAAAAAGTTTCTCACCGTATTTTTTAATCGCCCTGCTTTTTAGCGGGCGGCAAATAACAAAAAACAAAAATGTGTGGATAACCAATTTATTCACATAACAATTAATTACATCTATAGATATTTATTTTTTCCTGTCATATTTATTTTTTCCTGCCACTTTGATTTTTTCTCTTCTTTTTCTTTTTCACAAAACTCTTTTTCACAAAACTCTTGATTTTTTTCCCCCAACCAATTCCACCAACCCCCC